TGCACTTGTAAAATATAGTCCTGGATTTGCCAGGTCTGCAACTGTGAAGAAAGGAATTATAAACCAAAACATGACAAGTACGAACTCTGTTTCATTACGCTTAATGTTCTCTTCTACTGCTGTGAAGAGACACCCTAACCAAAGCAATTCTTATAAAAGAAAGCATTAATTGGGGCTGGCTTACAGTTTCAGAGGTTTAGTCCATTATCATCATGGTTGGAGGATCAACACACATAGGGCTGGAGCAGAGGATGAGAGCTACAACCTCATTCGCAGAGAGAGACAGACAGAGAGAGAGAGAGAGAGAGAGAGAGAGAGAGAGAGAGAGAGAGAGAGAGAGAGAGAGAGAGAGAGAGAGAGAGAGGAGAGAGAGCGCTACAACCTGATTCACAGGCTGAGACAGAGATATTGGGCTTGGCATGGGCCTTTGAAAACCCATTCCCACTGACACACTCCAACAAGGTCACACCTCTTGATCCTCCTAATCCTTTCAAATATGTCATTCCCTGGTGACTAAGCATTCAAAAATATGAATCTATGGGGGCCACTCTTATTCAAATCACCACAATGATACAGCTCTCCCTATAGCAAGCCAAACGCTCATCACGAAATGATCTGTGCTATTACAGAATCCAAAAGCAAGACTCCTGAACTTCAGTCCTTGCCTCTGTAGGGATCCTCAAAGTTTAAATAGTTCCTTGAAAAATAATTTAAACAGTAAAATTACCAGATCAGAAAACAAGAAAGGGGCATAACTGAGAAAAACAAAAAGGGGGGAGGGATTCATAGAGAAATGAGCATTTATACTCTCTCCATACCTCTTCAATATTGTACTTGAAGTTCTAGCCAGAGCAATAAGACAACAAAAGGAGATCAAAGAGATACAAATTGGAAAGGAAGAGGTCAAACTTTCACTATCTGCAGATGATATGATAGTTTACATAAGTGACACAAAAACCTCTACCAAGGAACTCCTACAGCTGATAAATACCTTCAGCAAAGTGGCAAGATACAAGATCAACTCAAGAAAATCACTAGCCCTACTATATACAGATGATAAAAGGGCTGAGAAAGAAATCAGAGAAATATCACCCTTTACAATTGCCACAAAAAACATAAAATACCTTGGGATAATGCTAACCAAACAAGTGAAAGACCTTTTTGAGTCTTTAAAGAAAGAAATTAAAGAAGACACCAGAAGATGGAAAGATCTCCCATGCTCTTGGATACATAGAATCAACATAGTAAAAATGGCAATGTTGCCAAAAGCAATCAGCATTAAAATCCCAGCACAATTCTTCACAGACCTTGAAGGAACAATTCTCAACTTTATACAGAAAAACAAAAGATACAGGATAGCCAAAACAACCCTGTTTAACAAGGCAACATCTGGAGGCATCACCATCCCTGACTTCAAGCTCTATTATAGAGTTATAGTCCTGAAAACACCTTGGTATTGGCACAAAAACAGACAAGTAGACCAATGGAATAGAATTGAAAGCCCTGATATTAACCCACACACGTATGAACACTTGATTTTTGACAAAGAAGCTAAAATTATACAATGGAAAAAAGAAGGCATCTTCAACAAATGGTGCTGGCATAACTGGAGGCTGACATGTAGAAGACAGGAGATAGATCCATGTCTATCACCATGCACAAAACGTAAGTCAAAATGTTAAGTTAAAGAACTCAACATAAATCCAGCCACACTGAACCTGTTATAAGAGAAAATGTGAAGGGCACTCTTGAACGAATTGGTACAGGAGATGGCTTCCTGAACGTAACTCCAGTTGCACAGACACTGAGATTGACAATTAATAAATGGGACCTCCTGAAACTGAGATGCTTCTGTAAGGCAAGGGACACAGTTAACAAGACAAAAAGGCCATCCACAGAATGGAAAAAGATATTAATTAACCCTACATCTGGCAGAGGGCTGATCTCCAAAATCTACAAAGACCTCAAGAAGCAAGTCTCCAAAGCACCAAAGGATCCAATTAAAAAGTAGTCTACACCCAGCAATTCCACTCTTAGGCATATATCCAAAAGATGCCCATTCATACAACAAAGATGTCTGTTCCACTATATTCATAGCAACATTATTTGTAATAGCCAGAACTTGGAAGCAACCTAGATGCCCCTCAACCGAAGAGTGGATAGAGAAAATGTGGTACATTTACACAATGGAGTACTATTAAGCAGAAAAAAACAATGGAATCCTGAAATTTGCAGGCAAATGGATGGCATTAGAAGAAACCATCCTGAGTGAGGAAACCCAGTCACAAAAAGAGAAACATGGCATGCACTCTCTCATATATGGATTTTAGACATATATCTGGGGAGTGCCAGCCTACAATCCTATGGCCAGAGAGTCTGGGAAACAGAACCTTCATTCAATGGCTGATGGAAGCAGAGGCAGACTCCCACAGCTAAACACTGAGCTGAACTCAAGGAATCTAGTAACAGAGAGGGAGGACTGATGGGCAAAGCGGTTAAGACTGGGCTGGTTTAACCCCCAGAAACAGCTGACCTGACAAGGGTTAGCTCTTGAATCCCAGACTGATGGCTGGGAATCCAGCATGGGACTGATCAAGACTCCCTGAATGTGGGTGTCAGTGAGGAGGCCTAGGTAATCTATTGGGCCTTGGGTAGTAGATCAGTATTTATCCCGGATATACAAATGGACTTTGGGCACCCATCCAACAATGAGAGATGCACTCTCACCCTGGACTCTCGGGGGAGGGTCTAAGCCCTGCCCTGGGTGAAATGAAAGACTATGGACACCCCCATGGAGGGCCTCACCATCCCTGGAGAAATGAGGGGATATTGGAGGGGATGGTGGGAGGGCATGGAAGGAGCGGAGGGAAAGGGAGAGGGGCCTGGAATTGACACGTGAAGCAACCTTGTTTCTAATTTAAATTTAAAAATAAAAAAAGTGGTCTACAGTACTAAATAGAGAATTCCCAGTAGAGGGGACTAAAATGGCTGAGAGACACTTAAGAATGTGCTCAACATCCCTAGCAATCAGGGAAATACAAATCAAAACAACTCTGAGATACCATCTTACTCCTGTCAGAATGGCTAAAATCAAAAACACCAATGACAGTTTATGCTGGAGAGGATGTAGAGAAAGGGAACACTCCTCCACTGCTGGCGGGAGTGCCAACTTGTACAGCCACTATGCAAATCAGTATGGAGATTCCTCAGGAAAATGGGAATCAGTCTACCACAAGACCCAGCAATTCCACTCTTAGGTATATACCCACAAGATCCACGTTCATACAACAAGGATGTCTGCCGTGCCTCCTGCGCAGCCTGCATCCGAGAATGTGGCGAGGGCGTCGGGATAGATGACACAGAGACCAGTCGGTTGTGTTAAGAAAACTTTATGCTCCCCAAATCGGCTTAGGAGAACTTCCCAAGAAAAATGCTTCCCTTCAGAAAAAACTTCTGCCATCCATACACACACAAATCTCCAACAGCCCTCTCTCACACCTCTCCTCTTTCCTCCTGGCTGGTGGTTAAGTCTCTGACACCAAAATCGAAAAACAACAGGGAGTAGAAAAAAGTAGCTAGCCGTAGGGAAGATCAAAGTCAGGGTGTTTCAGTCAGCCAGCCCTTATCGGAGCCCTTATCAGGAGCTTATGGCACTAAATTGTTTTTAGTAAACATGTTTTTAGTGAACACTGTCTCACAGCTGCCTGCTCCCAGGCTGATGAAGGAGTGGGTTTCCGGCCAGGGTCTGTGATCCCCACAGATGTCTGTTCCACTATGTTCATAGCAGCACTATTTGTAATAGCCAGAACCTGGAAGCAACCTAGGTGCTCCTCAACTGAAGAGTGGATAGAGAAAATGTGGTACATTTACACAATGGAGTACTATTCATCAGAAAAAAAAATGGAATCTTGAAATTTGCAGGCAAATGGATGGCACTAGAAGAAACCATCCTGAGTGAAGTAACCTAGTCACAAAAAGACAAACATGGTATGTACTCACTCATATATGGAATTTAGACATGGATCAGGAGCGTGCCAGCCTACAATCCCACTGCCATAGAGTCTGGGAAACAGGAAGGCCCTTAAGAGAGATATGCATGGTACCCCAGAGAAGGTAGAATGAGGCAACATCTCCTGAGCAGATTGGGAGCATGGGGGAGGGGAGAGGGAGCCAGGAAAAAGAAAGGGGTAGAAGAGGAGGGGAGTGGAAGATGTGGGGGAGAGGAAGGTTGAGTTGGGGGAAGAATAGAGGAGAGCAGGATGACAGATACCATTACCTTAAATGTCCCTCCCTGATAATTATTTTGACGACTATCTTATATACCATCCTAGAACCTCCATCCAGTGATAGATGGAAGCAGAGACAGCCACCCACAGCTAAACACTGAACTGAACTCCTGGAACCCAGTGACAGAGAGGGAGGAGTGATGAGCAAAGGGGTCAAGACTGGGCTGGTGAAACCCAGAGAAACAGCTGACCTGAGCAGGGGGAGATCTTGGACACCAGACTGTTGGCTGAGAAACCATCATGGGACTGATACAGATCCCCTGAATGTGGGTGTCAGTGAGGAGACTTAGGCAATCTATGGGGCTTTGGGTAGTAAATCAGTATTTATCCCTGGCATACAAATGAACTTTTGGGTGCCCATACCACAATGAGGGATGGTCTCTCAATCTGAACACTTGGGAGAGGGCCTGGGCCCTTCCTGGAACCGACTCTAGAGATTCCCCATGGAGGGCCTTACCCTCCCTGGGACCCCAGGAGGATCTGACAACTGTGACCTCTGCAGGCGTCTGCACTTATGTGCACACAACCACATATAGATGCACAATTAGGAAAAATAAGTTTTTTTGTTTTGTTTTTGAAAATCAATATTGAATGTCTCGACTTATATTTTAACAACTGAAATTAGACACAAACTCCTCAGGGCTGACATGTATCAGTTAGTCATGCAGGCGACCCTCTTCTAAGATCTATACTGAAAACTTATCATGACACATGTTTAATTCTAGTAGCTTTTATTTTTGACAACTACTTAAAATTCACATCAAAACAACAAACTGTTTCTGACACCGTGAACATTTAAAAGGACACATAACTTAGGCTTCCAAAGGTGGAATATACCTTTATTTGGCTGAAATTTTGAAAGAACTCTAAATGAGTTTTGTTTTATTTTGTTTCCAGAGTATCTTTTTTGTTTCGTTTTAATATTTATTTATTCCTGATTTACCTTTGAAAACCAATTACTTACGGCATTTTAAAAAAACCTGGTTCTCATGTGTCTTACAAAAACTAAAAGGTTTTTAGTGTATTGTGTTTATTCGTAGGAGGACAACATGCCATAAACTAGGTAGCTTATAAAGAAAAGAAACTGCTTCTCACAGTTCTATTAGTCAGGATGCCCAAGGTCAAGGTGCTGGCAAATTTGGGATCTGGTAACGTCTTTGCTTGGTTCACCTCACTGTGTGTGTCCTTGTGTGTTAGGAGGGGCAGAGTTCCTATCGCCTATTTTACAGCCTCTTCAGTGGTACTCTGTCCTTGTGACCCCCCCCCCAAAACTCCACTTCTTAATGGCATCACCTTTCGAGTTAAAATTTCAAGCAGACACAGCATTCAGACTGAGGCAAACAAGTAGAGGATGGCAGAAGGAAGAGAGCATGCCCCCTTCCAGATCTGCCTCTTCCAGCTCCCCCAGAATGTCTGAGCATTTCATAGCGGCCCCTACAGATGAACCTGAAGCCTGGCTGGGTGGCCCTCTCTGTGGCATCTATTTACTCAAAGCAGTTGTCTTAGAAAAATGCTTGCAGAACATCTTGTTTCTGATCGATATTATTAAGAATTATTGGGAAGGGTGATAAGGAGAGGGAATGATTTAAACTACAGAAATTAGCCCCTCTCCCAAATTCATCTTAGAAAGTTAAGCTTATTTAAAATTACTCTTTTTCCTGAGCTTAATGCCATTCAAGCCTTACGCAAAAAAAAAAAGAAACACAAAAATCAGATTTATCAAAAATAGATAATCAGGTTGCTGATCTTTTCCAGTTGATTTATCATTTATGTTTCATTATCTCCCTAAATAATCAACTCCCTGGCTCATGGAAGACAGTCTTGTTACAATTTTTAAGGACTTTTGTAAAGAGTCCTTCTCTGTCCCATCAGCCAGCTCACAAATAATGACACAAGTATGACATCAATCATGAAAACTCAGCCTATAGCTTAGACTTGCTCTTAATTAGCTCTTATAACTTAAATTAACCCATTTCTATTAATCTATGTTTTACCGTGTGGCTTTTTAGCTTTCACTTTGTATGCCTGACTTCCTCCACGTTCCATTGGCATCTCCCTGAGCCTTGATTATCTCCTCCTACTTCCACTCTGCCAGAAGTCTCCCCTTGCCTAGCTACTGACCATGCAACTCCTTATTGAACCAATCACAGTAATGTATCTATACACAGTACAAATATCCCACAATATATTTTCATTATGCATTCCAAATGAAAAGGCTCCTGACACACTTCTATGCTTCCCATTTTTCATGCTCAAACACAAATTCTCTAGGTGACAGGTGCAAATGAGAGCCCCAAACAGAATGTAATCAATAATTCTTACCTTGGGCACAAAAGACTGAGTATAAGGTTTGATTTAATGGGGGCTAGGCACCAGTAACTCAACCCAGATAACAAAGAGTGCTGTTCATTTCTCCAAGGATGTGTCAGTGTTGATGACTGAGCCCTTCATCCTTCTTCGGTTTTCATTCATGTTCCCCTGTGAAATTTGAAGATCACATCTACATGTGGTATTGAGGAAAAGATGAATAATAGACACAGCCAAGGAGAAACACATGAGCTATCCTAACCTTAGATGCAGCTCAGTCTCCCAATTGCCTGTTCTCTAGCCCCTGCCCCTACATCCCTGGTTCAGAATACATCAAAGCATTTGACCTCTTTATATAATTGCATGCTATGACAGTCAGAGCATCTACCTCCCAGTGCTATGTGTGGAGTTACTGAAGTCCTTGGTTCATGGCAAATGTGCCCAAACCTACTGGATGTTATTAAATGGGAGGGTTAAACACATTCCAATCTGCTGTTCTGTACAGCAGTTGTTGAGCTGTACAAGTTTGGAATTGGGTTATGGGTGGGTCTTCTATTACCACCACAGCCCAAAGCAAAACAACCCTATACAACAAAGAGCCCAAAGCTCCTTCAGTCAGTGTTTTCCATATAGATTTGGGCATCAGCAGCCAAGAGACTTGTCATTTGGTGACTTGTAGGTAACTGATCTGCCTTCATCCTGGAAGCCCCTGTCAGCATCCAACAGCAATTTAACCTTTCTCTTTTCTTGTCACACTTTCTCGTTGTTGTTCTTGAGTTTTACAAGAATCAAGAGGCTACAATTTTCCCTGTCTGAGGAATTTCTTACTTGAGTTCCTTGATTACCATCTACTTAGAAGCATGATGGTGAGGCTGCCTCCTTCTCCCTCCCACTGAGGGTTAATTCCAGATAAAATCTGGAAGCAGAGGGGGGAGACTGTAAGCATTCAGTGGGCCAGAGCTGGTGTATGTGGTAAGCACCCAATGCTTACCCCCAATGCAAAGAGAACGAGGGCCTGGCACTGCTCTCACTCAGTGGGACTGAGACCATCAGAGAAAACCTCTGGATCCCACTCCCACAGAGTCATGACACTAGACATGCCCATCAGTTTACTAAGGGCCAGAGCTCAGGAATAGTTATCTCTTTAAGAGAACTTGGGGTACCTCTGGAGTCTGGAGGGGTCACGGGATCTCCCTGTTTGTTTGGGGGTGGACGACTGTGTTTATTTGGTAGGAAATTTTCTCATTTTAAAGTAGGTCAGAGATAATCCACCTATACCCCAAGTCCCATGTCCTGACACATCAGGATAAGATACATCGAAACCTTACACTTCCTCTACCCACCACCTCCTCATTCCATGTCTATCACGACGGACAATGGGACTCCCTGTTCTGGGTTCAAAATTCCTGGTATTTTGGTGACTAAGGATCTTTTTAATTTTTCTGGGAGGATGAGACCACAAGGGAGCCAGGACAGGGAAAGCTGAGCAAAGCGAAGGCACCAGAGGTTCGGGTCTGTCAATGGAGACCTGGGGATGGCAGAGCAGGGGCACTCGGCAGGAACTGAGTGTGGTCTGCTGTGTACAAGGAGCCGCCTGCTCTGGAAAGTGCCTTCCCAAAGCACAGGTGCAGCTCCAGCTCCCCTCTCACACGACCTTGACCTTGCTTCTCCCCAGGTCTACTGGATCACTCCTAAGAAATGCCCAGTTACCTTCAGAGTTGCCTAGTCTTCTTTGGATTTGTTTCTTTCAACCCAGAGACCCTTCCCTAGTTCTGTCCTTTGGGATCCTTGACTTACTAGGAATCCAGGACTGAAAAAGTAACATCAAAGGAAGAAAGGGCACTTCTGGGAAAGGCCTATGTACATCTTCCAAACCTTGTGTGCGGACTCCTGATATGAAAGAAACATATTTTCTAAGACAGAATTGGCAATGGGGGTAAGAGTCTGTTTTACTTCCTTCCTAGCACCCTCACATCAGTATCCAGAAATCAGCTTTATGAAAGTTGACTTTACCCACATAGAAACTCAGTGTAATTTGCCATTTGGTAACTACGTGTGCTATGTTCCCTGTACCGGCCTAATGAAAGCATAGAGACCCTTGCAAGGAGAGATTAAGTGCCCTAGAATCTACCCTTTAATCTACCAGGCAGAACGTTCTAAAAGTAAGGCCTACAGAATGGGCAATTATCAAGATGTCCTCCTTCCTTTGTGCTGAAGGCAGAAGCCCTGCCAGCTCCTCCTCACCCCTGCGCCCCAGGCAAGGGTGAAGCATAAATGACCTTTGAGCCAGACTTTCGGGTGCCTGACAGGGGAAATCTAGCAGGTCATTCCACTCTCCTTCATTGCGTAAAAAGGCCTGCTCCTTTCTGATGGCTAGAAGACATGACATGATTACTCCTAGGGGAAACATTCAAAGGCAGTCCCCCCAATCTGGGTACCAGAGGGCTGTCATTTACATATGCACCTACTCCTCATCATTCTTTGGCCATGCTATAGCTTTGGAAAGGCAAAAGAAAGAATACAGCAATTCAAGGCACGGTCTCTGAGGCCTACTGTGTGCCAAGGAGTCCCATCAATCATAGTCTTGACCCTGCCACTGACTCCCTAGCCATGTCACTTTGAGCAAGGTATCTGGCTCTCTGTACCTCAGTCTCCCTACCCTCAAAAACAGAACCTGGTAGAAACACCCTTCTCATAGGGCTGTAAGAATCATGTTTACTTCGTGGGATAAGCCTGGCCAGTTCTTGACCCTATACAGGACATACATAAGGAAGAGTGAAAAGTCAGTATGATGGTAGAACCCAAGTTCCCCAGCCTCACTCCCACCCACAGAAATCCAACTTGCACCATCCACAGACAAGCATGCCACTTTTGAAGAAAACAGTTGTTAACTGTAGCATCGGCTAAGGAGGAAAACTAAGAGAATACCTAAGAAATGACGACCCTCCGCCCTATGGCCAAGTACCTTATCACACATCATCACTCTAGACTCATGTCAGCACCTCCTTCAGCATTCACGCAGAAGGAAACTTGCTAACGACTACTCTGGGGTCCAACAGATAAGAACAAAGGATGAGTGTGAGAAGGTGGAGCCTTGCTCAGGATCCCCCCCCGTGTGTGTGTGTGTGTGTGTGTGTGTGTGTGTGTGTGTGTGATTCAGTTTCCTTGGACTGAGCTAAATGCTGGCTTTCCATTTCCTTCTAGTACAAAAGACTGGTTTTAAACAGTAGTAATACATTGTTTCTACTTTGGAAAGAAACCAGCAGGGTGCTAAAGGCTTTGTGTTAGAAGAGCAGGGAGAGTCACAGATGAATGGAAGGTTCTCCATTTGAGTCAAGAAATAGTAGGCCAGGTGGCATGTAGAGCACCCAAGGCAGGACAGGAGCTGAAAAGAGGCTCACGTGTCCTCTATATGAAGAGGGAGGGGGGTGTGGGACATGGGAATGTGAGAACTGGCAGGTCCCTGGCTATCCTGTTCCACTGAGTGGGGGACAGGTTGGGGGGTTGGGGAGTTCTCAGAGCTCCTCCCCAACTCCTCCACATTTCCTAGGAACTTCAGTGACAGCAGGAGACAGGCAGAAACTGTTTTTAGCAAACCACAATAACGAGCTGTACTTAAGCTGCTTACTTACATGAGATAATAGTTAAAAATATCTCTGTCCGTGCCGTGGGAGTTTCTTCAGGGGGTAGCTTGGTCTTGAACGGATATAATTTGTGTCAGAGATAAAATCTTCCTATAATAAAACACATCCAGCAATTGCATTATCTGGGATGTAATAAAGGTTGGTAATACCCAGACACATGGCTTCAGTATGAAGAGGTCTGTGTACCCCCTGTACAAATGGGGTCATGTGTGTGTGTGTGTGTGTGTGTGTGTGTGTGTGTGTGTGTGTGTGTTTCCTATTCTCTCTCCATCTTAAGGAGATTTGTTACCTTTAGGTTAGGAAATAAGACTAAGTCAAAGCTCTTCAGAGAGGAAGAAAGAAACTGACTACTCCCATGGGTACCATGACCAATACCCACTTACAAATGTCATCCTGCCAGCCTGGTATAAGCTAGCCTGTGTGGCATGATCAGCTCCAGAGACTCAGGGTCCTTTTGACACTCCACTGGAATGCCTTTAAATTCAGGTCAAGACATGCAAGCTGCGTGTCTGCAGGAAACGACAGTGCTGGGCATCTCTACCGTAGGTCAGAAATCCCCCCCTAAGACTACAGAAAACATCAAGTACCAAAACACCTTATTAAATGTAGATGCCATTTCTTCCAGATATGGCCTTACATGGGCCCTCACATAAATGTGTTCTTCTTTGTGTTGGAACTGCTGTGAAGAGGGTAAGAGAGCACTCTCAGGACCTCTCTGCCTGATGAGCACTGTGCCGAAGGAACTGCTCACATTAATCTCCTCCGGGTCCCTTCTTCTGGAAGCCTGCCCTGACTCCCAACCATGCAGATACCTGCCCAGTCAGGCTCAGGACACCATGTTCTCTCCTGGGTCAGTGTCACAGTTTCACTTGGTTCCTATGGTTACTTCACTGATGTCTGTTTCCCTCACTGGACTTCGAATTCCAGTTTCCACATTTACCAGCCAGGATCTAGTTTCGCCAGAATCCCTAACCTTTGGGTGAGCTCTGTGGGATGCCAGGAGGCTGCACACCCTCTCATGAATCTTCTTCCACGTGGACTGAGAACGAGGCTGGAACCTGCCCAACAGAGTAAATGGAGTGAAGCATTATGCAGCTACTGAAAAGTATGCCGGCTTAGAGCACTTAAATATTGTGGGTTGACACTTAACCGTAAGTTAGAATGTCAGTATGCAAAGTGGTACCCCTATGATTTTAATGCTAGCATCAAGCCTACATGTGAGGATGGTGGGGATACACACCACCAACATGGTTAAAACCAGCTGTGCTTGGCGTCTGCCCGTGAGCAGACTTTCCTGGTTTTCAGGAAATTCGCTAATGAAAAACATCCTGACTTTTTTCAACCCCAAGTTGTATTTTAAAATCTTAATCTCAATTGTTTTCTGCCATAAAGACTTGATTTTAGTTTAAGCCACTCAGAGCCCAAACTTAAGCACAAGCTGGATAATGTCTTCCAGCTTCCCACACACTGACTGCACTTTCTCTCTTCCACAGCCGCCTCTGTGCGGAAAATACTGCTGCCTTCCCGCCCAAGCCCCCGCTTTCATTAACTCCCAACAACTCTTCTGGGTTGAACTCCATTGCTGATTCCTCAGGAGTCCTTCCAGAGGTCCCCTGCCACACCCCCCAAGGCCAGCTGACCCTTGTGTTGTTCATTTCTGATGGTGGACACTGTCCCCCATCTGGTTAATGTGTCCCCTAGACTGAGACCCAGGCTGAGACTCTGGTTAATATTTCATCCCAAACTTAGTGTGGTGGCACATACCTGTAATCCTAGCCCCAAGGACGCTGAGTGGAAGGATCATGAGTTTGAGGGTAGCCTGGGCTATACAGCAGAACCTTGTGTCAAAAGGACAAAAGTAAAACTCACCTCGGGCCACAGTAGGTATTGAATACCACAGTGGGGCTTGAAGAGTATTGCTTGAGGCACTGGGAGGCGACTTGGTAGTTAAGAGCATTTGCTGCTCCTACTGAGGACCTCAGTTCAGTTCCAGCACCCACATCTTCTGTCCCTCAACCACCTTCAACTCCAGTGCCAGGACATCCCCTTCTGGTCTCCATGGGAACATGCACACACATGATGCACAGATATACACTCAGGCCCACAAAATAAATCTTTCAAAAACAATGCTGTTTGAGTAGTGAATGCATTCATACTGTGGTGAGTACCAAGTCGTAAATTCTAAGATATTACTAAGCTAAAGGTGTACACAGAAATTCGATGGGGTAAAGTGCAGATGCTGTTTCCGTAAAATATTCAAAGAATTTTAGCACTTCAGGTAAAATCATTCTCTCTGCTAGTATGTGAGAAACACTAGAATGGCACACGTGTTTGAGATGTTAACAAGGGTTGCCATCAAGAATGTATAGAGAACTGCTCGTTAGCAGACCATGGGAGTCTGGAGTGGTTGTTAGGGCCACTATGCCGATGACCCTATGGCTCCTCCTGTCTGTAGTTTGTGCTCATTGATCCATCACAGCCTTCTCTGGAGCAAGAACATAAGGCCTAGAGTAGGTTGAGTCCACACATCTATTACCAACCCAGAGAAACAACGGGCAGCAAATAGATGAACCCTCAACACACTGCTGTGTTTCAGAAAACATCATATACATAATTTCTGCTCTCCCCAAGAATCTTATGAGACATACAACAAGTATTTCTTTAAAAGTCTTTAAAAACAGCCACCAGCTGGACACATCAGCCAAAGAGATACTATAGTTGCATACAAGGAATAGAATTGTCTCATCCCAGCATTCTCTGAGAGTCTCTTCTCCTCACATACAAGAAGAGTGGGATTGTATGGTGAGGCAGGCAACATGCTGTAGATGGGGGGAGATGGGAAGTGTGGGCTGTCCCTCTTTCCTTTGGGAATACATTCTTCACTCTGGCATTCAAAAGGCTTTGTACATTTCCATTAAAATCGTGGGCTGAAAGTCTAAAATTAGGGCTACCATATAATCCAGCAATACCATTCCTGGGCATAGGCTCAAAGGACTCGGCAACCTACTCCATAGATACTCACTCGGCAGTGTTTATTTCCACCCCCTTTGCAATAGCTAGGAAATGAGAGAAACCTACATATCCTTCAACAGATAGATGGATAGGAGAAACGTGCTACATTTACACTATGGAATACTAGTCAGTTTTAAAGAACAATGAAACAGTGACATTTTCAGGTAAGTGGATGGGACTAGAAAAGATTATACTGAATGAGGTAACCTGGACCCAGAAAAGCAAATGTCACATGTTCTCTTATCAGAGGCTCCTAGCACCAAATCTCCAGATGTTGGTACACAACATGAGTAACCACAGAAACCAGTAAATGATAATACACTGTGGGAGTGGGGAATTGAGAGAACAAGATACAAGGAAAAAGAGAAAAGTGGGAAGGAGGGAGGATAAACAACACCAAAATTGTCTGATACAGCCTCAAGAAATCATATGACTTTATATATACCTAAAATACACAATTTATGTAAGCGTGTGTGTGTGTGTGTGTGTGTGTGTGTGTGTAAATAAAGTTGTGTCACTTGGGCTCACAATGCTCCCTACAAGAACAATATAGTAATAGTACTAGGCATGAGAAACCTCCCCAAACAATATAGGCTACTGATGTTGCCCTGGGATGCCTCTCAAAGGTTAATGTTAAGACCTATTGCTGAAGACATTGAACACTTAGGACACAGGACTTGGATTATTTGAACTGGATCTAATCTGAAAGCATCCTCCCTGCAGTCTAGTTTACATAGTATCATAAAGTACTAGGAAAACTGCCAAAGGAGGGAAGCAATCACTAGTGCTATCCAGTTACAACACCTAGGAACCACAACAATGACCAACATAGCAGGCTATCTATACAGGAGCAATAGTGGCACTCACATGTTGGTAGTAACCAACAGCTGTCTACGTGTCTACTTAACAGGAGGGAAGTCATGTCTAGTAGTAGAACCCTGACCAACTACCTGGGGTTAATGAGGTTATAAATCTTAGAAGAGAATCTACTATTATCTCCTTGCTAGAGCAGCATAATTCTTTAACTGCATTCTAAATGTTAACCTTATAACCACAGACAGGTCTAGCTATCACTGCTCATCAAAGAGAGTTCTCTCTACAGTAAATAGATACCACTGAAGAAAACCACAACTGGGAGCAGTGAAAAGGTCAATGTCTTGTGGGTATCCCAGCCCCAGTGGATACATCTGTAGCATAGCTCCTATAGCCATGTTGCAGAAATCTGAAGAGAGTGGAAAACTTGAAAGAACCAGACTGTGAGAAAGTCTATTGTGTGACTGTCTCTCCTAGAAATTGTTGTATTAACAGGATCTAAACAATGGAAAATATCAATAGACATGCCGACATGAAAGGGGTAAAAACCTCACAGGGCCCAACCCCTAAACAAAAAAGTATAGGCAACTGATGACTGATGAGAAAGAGACGTAATCTCTCCCATGGTTGAACCCCATGACTGGTTCTTCAATACAAAGTAGTCATCCCTGGAACTTGTGTGTGTGTGTGTGTGTGTGTGTGTGTGTGTGTGTGTGTGTACATATATATAATAAACACGAACTCATCAGGTTATATCTATATATTTATCTGTGTGTGTACATATATATAATAAACACGAACTCATCAGGTTATATCTATATATTTATCTGTGTGTGTGTGTACATATATATAATAAACACGAACTCATCAGGTTATATCTATATATTTATCTGTGCGAGTGTGTACATATATATAATAAACACGAACTCATCAGGTTATATCTATATATTTATCTGTGTGTGTGTACATATATATAATAAACACGAACTCATCAGGTTATATCTATATATTTATCTGTGTGTGTGTACATATATATAATAAACACGAACTCATCAGGTTATATCTATATATTTATCTGTGTGTGTGTACATATATATAATAAACACGAACTCATCAGGTTATATCTATATATTTATCTGTGTGTGTGTGTATATATATAATAAACACGAACTCATCAGGTTATATCTATATATTTATCTGTGTGTGTGTATATATATATAATAAACACGAACTCATCAGGTTATATCTATATATTTATCTGTGTGTGTGTATATATATATAATAAACACGAACTCATCAGGTTATATCTATATATTTATCTGTGTGTGTGTACATATATATAATAAACACGAACTCATCAGGTTATATCTATATATTTATCTGTGTGTGTACATATATATAATAAACACGAACTCATCAGGTTATATCTATATATTTATCTGTGTGTGTGTGTTCATATATAATAAACACGAACTCATCAGGTTATATCTATATATTTATCTGTGCGTGTGTGTTCATATATAATAAACACGAACTCATCAGGTTATATCTATATATTTATCTCTGTGCGTGTGTACATATATATAATAAACACGAACTCATCAGGTTATATCTATATATTTATCTGTGCATGTGTGTTCATATATAATAAACACGAACTCATCAGGTTATATCTATATATTTATCTGTGTGTGTGTGTATATATATATAATAAACACGAACTCATCAGGTTATATCTATATATTTATCTGTGTGTGTGTACATATATATAATAAACACGAACTCATCAGGTTATATCTATATATTTATCTGTGTGTGTGTACATATATATAATAAACACGAACTCATCAGGTTATATCTATATATTTATCTGTGCGTGTGTGTTCATATATAATAAACACGAACTCATCAGGTTATATCTATATATTTATCTGTGCGTGTGTGTTCATATATAATAAACACGAACTCATCAGGTTATATCTATATATTTATCTGTGTGTGTGTATATATATATAATAAACACGAACTCATCAGGTTATATCTATATATTTATCTGTGTGTGTGTGTATATATATATAATAAACACGAACTCATCAGGTTATATCTATATATTTATCTCTGTGTGTGTACATATATATAATAAACACGAACTCATCAGGTTATATCTATATATTTATCTGTGTGTGTGTACATATATATAATAAACATGAACTCATCAGGTTATATCTATATATTTATCTGTGCGTGTGTGTACATATATATAATAAACACGAACTCATCAGGTTATATCTATATATTTATCTGTGTGTGTACATATATATAATAAACACGAACTCATCAGGTTATATCTATATATTTATCTGTGTGTGTGTACATATATATAATAAACACGAACTCATCAGGTTATATCTATATATTTATCTGTGTGTGTGTACATATATATAATAAACACGAACTCATCAGGTTATATCTATATATTTATCTGTGTGTGTAACAATAAAACAGAAAAGGAGGCTATCAACTTGAGTGTGGGGCAGACACAGAAGGGGTTGAAGGGCAGAAAGGGAAAGAAGAAAGTGATGAATTATAGTAAAATGTAAAATGTTAATTAATGTTTTAAAATACTGGTCTAACTACAGAATGGGAGAAAATTTTGCTAACAATACACCAAGCAGGTGATTAGCATCTAGGATATAGAAAGAACAGGGAAAAAAACAAAGCTTGTGATTAGTAAATGGGCTAGAAAACTGAATATAGTTCTCAAAGAAACACAAGTGTTTAATATTTATTTAATAATAAAACAATTGAAAATGTTCAAAATCTTAGCTATCAGAGATATGCAAATAAAACTGCTTTGAGAGTCCCTCCTACCATTTCACAATACATATGCTGGCAAGGACGAGGGGAAGGAGGACTCTTCATTTACTGAGACTGGGAGTTTACGTAAACTGATGCAGCCACTGTGGAAATCAGGGCAAAGTTTCTGAAAAATAAGAGTACAGTTACCATACGATCCAGCTATCCCACTCCTAGGCATATATCTGGGATTTCCTATGTCAACACAGCACAGAGATGTCTGCCCATCCATGTTCACTGCTGTGGTGCTCACAATAGCTAGGAAATGGAGCCAGCCTATATGCCCATCTATAGATGAATGGGTAAAAAAAAAAATGCGACAATAGTCACAATGGGATCTTATTCTGCCATCAAGAAAACAAATGCTGACATCTGAAGGAAAATGGATGGAACTGGAAATCATTATGTCAGGCAAACAAAGCCAAATTCACAAGAAGAATACTATATGTTTTCTCTCATGTAAATCATAAAACCAGAAAGGGAACTATGCTGAATGGTTTGATGTCAACTTGGCATAAGCTATAGTCATCTGAGAGGAAGGAACTTCAATTAAGAAAATGCCTCCATAATATCAGGCTGTAGGTGTGCCTGTAAATCATTTTCTTAATTAGTGTTTGGTGGGGGAGGGCCCAGCTCATTGTGGGTGGTGTCATCCCTGGGGCCTGGGTTTTATAAAAAAGCAGGATGAATAATCCATGAGGAGTAAGCCAGTAAGCAGCAAACCTCCATGACCTCTGCATCAGCTCCCGCCTCCAGGTTCCTGCCCTGCTTGAGTTCCTGTCCGGATTTCCTTCACTGATAAACAGAGAAATGCAAGCCAAAGAAGCCCTTTCCTCCCCATGGTGTTTCATCACAGCAATCTAACACATCACAACACTAACTAGGACAGAAGTCATATAAGAGACCTTGAGGTGGCAGATGCTGGGAGGGTGGTATTGGAGTACATGTGGCACGGGAGCAGGAAGGCCGTTGCAGGGTATAGAAGGGAACCAGCAAGGAGTGGGGGAGAGGCAGAAGTCTGATATAAAAAGAACAAAATATATATGAAATGTCAGAGTAAGATTCATTACTTCCTGTTATCTTGGACTCCCTCATCCCTGCAAGCTGAGCATTGGCTGCCTCCAGGGTGAAGCTAACAGAGTCTCAAGAGATGTTTCTCGTGCACCATTGGGAGGAGCTGGTCCTGTTGACCCTGTGAAAGAGCAATTAGAGAGGAAAGAAAAAGGATCTATAGCCACAAAGGTTCCAGACATCTGCCTTGGTTATCAGCTAAACTTGTCAAGGGGGCTATAGAGTCTCCCTGAAGCATATGAAAGGCATAGCCATTATTATTATTATTATTATTATTATTTATTACTATTATTAGAAACTCCTACACTATTCCCACAGTGACTATATCAGTCTCTGTTCCCACCATCAGTGAATGAAGGCCTCCTTCTCCCTACATTCCTGCCAGAAAACATTGTCCTTTGAAAACAGCTTTTTCTTTCTTTTTCTTTTTTATAAGACAGGATTTCTTTGTGTAGGCCTGACTGTCCTGGAACTCACTCTGTAGATTAGGCTGGACACAAACTCAGAGATCTGCTGCTTCTGCCTCTGGAATGCTAGAGTAAAAGGTGTTCACCACCACTGCCTGGTGAGAAGAGCTTTCTTTAAAAGATGACATTTAAGACCACTCCTCTAGTGGAAGATGGACAACCTATGTGGCTTACCCAGGACTCAGGGCTTTCCCACAATGTGAGACTTGGGCCCAAAGCTAGGATAGCCATAGGCCAACTGGATGGCCTTTCTGTGGTCACAGTTCTTTGTCGTTGTGGATCATGGCCTTATTTACACACTCCACAGTTCGTTAGGTCCAAAGTCACCTGTTTAGAGTGACTGGCAGGCTGAATTTGCTGCCTCATCTGAGATGGCTGGATGCCTTCTTGCCTTCCTTCTGTTCCTTGCCCTGCCTCCATTGACTGAGCATTCCAGAGCATTCCTTCCTTCTCAGTCTCCACTGCTCTTCCACAGTTATCATTGGTTTCTGGAGCCCTGGGACCGGACAGTTCCCCAATTCATCTAACTGATGGGAGCTAACAATGTCCCTGTCTTCTCACTTCCCATCCCTACCCTTCATTAACTCAGTCATGAACCAACTTTCTTCAGGGCCCACATGAAATGTTATCTCCTCTACCAAACTGTAAGAGCCATTCTCCTTGTTTATTCTCTAAAAGCAACCATCAAGTTCTGCCTTGTAGAAATCTGTGTGTGTCTGCGCGTGCGCACGCACACGCTCAAGCATGAATATGCATGTGTATTTCCATTCTGTTTTTTGTGGTGATGATTTGGTTTGGTTTTTCTTTTTGGCAGTACTAGAGATCGAACCTAGGGCCTCGTGCATGCTAGACAGGTACTATACCATTGAGTTACACTGCTAAAACTACACCAGGTACCCTCAAACACTTTCCCACAGGAAAAGAAGAAGCTAACGGTACGTTTTGTGCAGGTTTATAAAAGGATAGTCATGTTCACCAAGTGAATATTCCAACAAAACAAACTGTCAAGGCATGCAGGCTTTCTTCCTGACAGAGCACATCAGGTAAGAGGATGGGTACCAGCTGCTGACCTTTTTCGGAGAAGACGCTGATTCAAAGGGCTGGGAGATCTGGAATGCTGGGGGGTGGGAAGTGGAGCCTCCGGGTGGAAATCGGCATCCCCTTGGTGACTGGGTGAGGGTTTTCTGGACTTCCTTGAATTTAAAGGTGATGGTGGCTGACTCCTTAAAAGAATACGTTCATCTGGCTCTCTGGTAACCTGAGGGACAACATGCATTATTCTTGTAGTTTTGGTTTTGATCTGCCTAATACAGAGCTAGGGGCAGGCTAGGACAATTGAGGTAAGATAACAGAATATGTGGCCAGGAGACCAATCCAATGAACCCCACAGTGTGGCCTACAGTGGAGTCGGGGCACCGATCTGTGTAAACCCGACATGAGCTATGCTTCCCAAAAATGAGCAGCACAGCAAGGAACATATTCCCCCCGTTAACTGCACAGGGGTTGACATAGATGATGGAAATAAATCATTTTACAGACGTTACTGTTACAATTACCTTGACGTTTGCTGCAAGGCTGTCAAGAGAAGATGCTAGAAGAAAGAGGAACATGAGTGTGAGGAACTTGTTGTTACCAGTTAGCCACAAAACTACTGATACATTTATCCCATAGAAGAACCAAGATTTTAGACAATAAATGAATGACAAAGGAACTAAATGCTCCCTTGTAAAATCCAAGATCACCACTGAATCTCTCTTGGGGCACTGAAATTCTAGGGAACTTTCTGTCCTCTTGGGGTCCACAATCAAGTTATATTTTCAGTTACAGCATAGCTAGGAAGGGTATGGGGGGACCAACATGCTATGAAGAAGAAGTTCAAGACCCTTATAGCCTTAAAGAGAGAAAAGATTTTTACCCAAATTCCCAGCGCTTTGAAGAAGACAATATGGATCTAATATAAAGTTGCTATGCTCTGCCCCATGAGTCCTTAGCTCTTGAGTATACTTGTCTGAGATAATCATGAATGTGATGTCTAGCCAATGAATACATAAGAACATAGAGAAATGCAATGCATCCAAACCACAAATCATTGCTGTTACCCTAAATATCTACGAGAGGCAAGGATGACTAGAAAGCAAAGTAATAGCCTAACCTGAACAAGGCCCTAATTCCAAAACAAAACAAAATACTGCAGTACTAAAAACAAATTCAACTCCAAAAGTAATAAATACACATGGAGAAAACAGAAATGTAAATGGATCTCTTTTTTCCAAGTTTAATGACAAAACATTCTCTGGACTCTTGGTCCCCTTACACCACCAGTTGCAGGAGGAAAAAAAGAGAGATTTTTAAAGCCTGACACCTTCCCTATCTGGGCATACTCATCAGTGCTTGTGCACATGGTCCTGGAACACCTCCATGCCCTGCCCCTGTAAACTGGACAAGGAATCATCAGTACTGAGTCCCTGGCAGCTATAGCTACATCCGGAAGCCTAGGAACTCCTTGCACACTCCCCTGCGGTGAGGTGAGAACTGCATTAACTTCTGATTGGAACCTTGTTTCTCAAGGGACAATCCATGGCCTAGCAGCACGAGGACCACCTGGTAGCTTGTGAGAAAAGGACCCAGGGCCCACGCCAGGGCTTTATCAAGATGTCCAGTTCAACAAGAACCCCAACCGGCTCAGAGACACACAGAATCTTGGAGGCCTGCTTTATTTCCCCATAATCTGGAGGTGGCCTAAGCATAGGGACGGCCTGAAAGCCCCAGGGCTTCCAGTATCTAAGTTCAGAGAACTGAACATCTGGAGGCTGTAGCTCTGCTAACAACTTGGTATAATACTTAGACTCACACTGCCTGGATCAAGACATGGCAAGCACGGTGTACAAGCGCCATCAGAGGCAAGCCAGGATCAAGCTCCACTGTCTTTCCCCAGCAAGGACATTTGTTGTTGCTTGATTTCACTGTGACAGGGATGGCAGCACGGCTTTTACCCGTTGCACCAGTGATTTTTCAATTGCGGTGCTTAAATTGAATGTCAGAGGTGAGGAAGCACTTTCTCCTCTCAAGTTCACTCTCTGTCCGGGTCAGCTGTTATCTGTCACTCTGTCTGGCCAGAGTTACAAAAAACACTCTCTAGTCCTTTAAAAGTACAAACTGTTAAGCTGAACACAGGGAACTCCACTACTGAGGACATCACAAGTCTAGTCCCACCAAGGGGGAACAAAAGGGACCATCACCAGCCAGTCTATTTTTTTTTGTTTTTTTTTTTTTTGTTTTTTGTTTTGTTGTTTTTTTGTTTTTTGTTTTTACGAGACAGGGTTTCTCTGTATTGTTTTGGAGGCCGTCGGTCCAGCCTGGCCTCGAACTCACAGAAATCCGCCTGCCTCTGCCTCCCGAATGCTGGGACTAAAGGCATGCGCCACCACCGCCCGGCACCAGCCAGTCTAGACTCAGAACTCCAGGCAAGCCGGCATGACCTTCATTAGGGACAGACTCACAGATCTCAGTCCTAAGGTAAAAGCCTTCCAGGGATGCCTTAACCCAGACACTGTAACCTCAATGGGGGTGGTGGTCCCTTCAGGACCTTTCATGAAACCTCCTAATCAAAACCTGCATTCAGGTTTTGAGAACACGACTTATTCTTCTCATTCTCATTCTCCCACAGTGTAACAAAACCATCACAGCACATCGTAACATTATTATTCTGATGGTATTATTTCAGCTGGTATATTACATTTTACAATACTCAATTTCAATTTCTAACATACTAAATGTGGATACCATCATCCATGTCAATCAAATCTCTTTAAAGTTCTCAATATCATTTGCAAATGGATCCTGAAACTCATAACTCTGAACACAGCTACTTTAGCCTAACTGCTTCAGAGAACTGGCTCCCTCCTCACTAACATGGAATCTGGTCAGCAAGTGTCATGACTGCTATCACTATCTTACTCCTGTGCCCTCAGAAAAAGCAAACAATGGATTTGCCAACTGTCAGAGATGCAAGGAGTTCACACGTAGCCATAGGCTGTGGCCGCATGTGGTCAGTCACACTATGCAGCTCAGTCCCCTTCAAGTACTGAGGGCAACTCGAAGATAAACAGCTTCTTGGATGCCTCTGCCCCATGGGAATGGCAGAGACCTTGAGAATCAGGTCCACGGTTGGCAACGTAACCTGTCAATCCTCAGAGTGAAAGATGCTAAGTGGGATGTACTCATGCTCATTGAGGGAACATTAGTAACAAGAAACTCAAGTACCTCTTCTCATTGGAAAAGCAAAGTCTAAAAACTTAGATCTTCTTCTGGACTTCTGTAAACGATGTTCCAAATTGTTTTCACCAAAGGGGTTTTCACTGTCCACCTGAAAGTGAGGAAGACATGTAAGACTCCACCTGCAGTAGCTTGGATTGCCTTCTCATTACCCATAATTCCCCACCCCAACTCAGAGAGAAGCTGGAAAATAACCTAAATCACAGTCTCCAACTATAGAATGTTATACCCCACAGAAGAAACCATCCACCGTCTCCACCAGGGTTAGATAGGAGGGTGTGTGTTAAGTGTGAACACAGAAAACTGAAGAGAGATTTTTAAAAAAGAAAAGAAAAATGCTTCTATTAAGGATGTCTCATGTATGATCAGAAAATCTGGCTAATTAAGCATGTAAAATTACCTATAAAAGAGCTTATCGTATAGCAAAAACTGTAATGATTTGTTAAAGAATACGTTTCCATTTCCTAAGAAATCTAACCATTTTTTAAAAAGATTAATTACTCCACAGTGGCAGGGACTGTATTTATAAGCATATGTATGGAACAGAATAAATCACGCTGTCCAAAAAATGCAAGCTATCAACACTTCTACGAAGTCATATTTAATGACAGGTTGCTACATTTTTTTTTTTTTTTTGGTTTTTACGAGACAGGGTTTCTCTGTATTGTTTCGGAGGCTATCCGTCCAGCCTGGCCTCGAACGCACAAAGATCCGCCTGCCTCTGCCTCCCGAGTGCTGGGATTAAAGGCGTGCGCCACCACCGCCCGGCAGGTTGCTACATTTTTGCCAGGCATCTTTAGAAAAACCAACAAAAAGAAAACAGCCATTTAGTATTTCTGTGTCTATGAATAGTTCTTGTTTGTAGACTAGCTAATTGGAATTTTCCAGCCAGAAAGTTCAATTCTACCTACAAGTAAATTACACACAACCATCCCTGTGGCACCTTGACTGAGACTTGCCCCACCTCACAGCCTGGATCAAACGCACAATTATAATTTCTAGTGACCCTAAGTGAAAATGTAAGTAATTTATCCATTGCTAACATTCTGTAATGTGTGGTAGAGTTCATGAAGAGTACAAAGTAACAGAAAATGTTTGTTTGCTTGTGTCTGTCTGTCTATCTATCCAGCCAGCCGGCCATCTATAGTATAATTACAGCATCATGGAAAACATAAAGGCTATGAATACAAAAACTGACGAAAATTATCAAATCAATTATTTGTGGCTGGTGTGTGTGTGTGTGTATAACTCAATAGCTCAACTTTTCCACAAACACTCTATATAACCCAGGCTAGCCTCAAACTTATGGTAATCCCCCTGCCTTAGTCTCCCAAGTGCTGGGATCGCAAGGGCATATCACCACGCCTGATTTTAGATATTCTTTATATTATACTGATGAGCCAATGTGTAAACTTACCTTGAATGTCTGTGTTTTATAATACAATAATTAAAAACAAATTTTCAAGACAACTAGGAGTACTGCAGTGATTAACTGCGGCCTCTGGTGACGAAGATTCAGATGGCTCCTTGAGTGAGGCCCGTCATTGCTTTTCCCCCACAGACATCCTGTCCCTGCCTAGCATTTGGCTACTGAGCATCAGTCTCACTGAGAAAGTGAAAACTGTTTCACTTTGAATTGATGCACCTTATCAGCTAGTCTTTGATTAACACCTTCAATTCCTGGCAGTTTCACAGACTCCTCTGAGTAATGGTGAGTTATCATCTACAGATGTCATACTCTATTAATAATGTCCAGAAATTAGAAATGGGATGATTGACATTTACTGAGCAAATTCCCTCTCCAATGCCTTTATAGACATTTCCTAACAATGACACTGGAAAATGGACATCATTTAATGACAGTTATTATTCATTTGAATTCCCTTTTTAGTTACTGCAGCCCACTTGGCGCAGCTCAATACTTCTTTCTCCCATTGCTATCCATATCCTCACTGCAGCAAGTTACCCTGAAAAATCACTGTAAGCTCACATGTCTAACCACAAATGGAGGTTTTCTTTCTCCAGGGAGCCTGAAGCTTTTGCCAAGGTTCAGCGGAGTTGGCTGGTGCATGAGGAGACATCTGGGGGAAGATGGGGTGGGTACCCGGGGCTGGGTGCCTTTGGGGAGTCGGTCGGGACTTTTCTCCTTTGGCTTGGTTTTTCTGTTATTTGTAGGAGCTCTTTGCCCATGTGATTTTGATGAAGACCTTTGTGATTTATACTTGTCTTCCTGAAAGCAGAAAAAAGATGAGATTTGCCGTGCTGTTTCCTTTTGTTAGGCCTTAACCATGCTTAGAAGGTACTTGGCCCATGAGCTAAACCTCCAGCCAAAAATATTCTCTTGGATGGAAAAAAGAAGATAATTCCGTCAATTAATTCAGTAATTAATTGAACATTTATAAACTAAAATAGAAGACTGTCTCAGATTGATAAAACAAACCTTCAAAGAAAGGCATTTGTTTACTTAATCTGCCATTTAGCTTAACATATTTTAAGTAATAACAGCAAGCTTTATTTGTATTAGGGGAAAGTTTGAAAATGGCAGATACACACAGACATATTCCAAGCACAGGTTTTTATAGAAGCAAAATGGCATATATAGGTGGGTCCAACCATTTCACTTCAAAGAATTTATTGAAAGTAATCAAGTACTGATACCCGTGCAGCAATGAGAACATTCCTACTAGTTTAGAGAAGGTGTTCTTTAGAGACAGGGTCTCACCATGTAGCCTAGACTACCCTTCAACAGAAGCAAGCTCCCACCTTAGCATCCTAAGAGCTAGGACTCCAGAAATGTGTCACCACGACCAGCTTAAAATGGTTTAACCTAGCTGTCTTAGTGAATAAACGGTCCTTTTAGTCAAAATCCCACCTCAGCTCTATGACAATGTAGCAAAGACTGTCGGCTCCTTTTCCTTCTTCCTGCTGTTCTGATTGGTGGGTCTGTGATGGAGTGGGGGTGAGTGGGGGCTACTGTCTCCCATGCTGTTTGACACCATCACTTACCCACTGTTCACTTGAACACCACCACTCCTAAGACAAAGCAAGCATCCTGTAATGGGACAGGCTGAGCAAATGGTTTGAATACAGAAATAATCAAACCTAGCATAGTTTCTGTATGTTCAGTTTCATTTAAACTCAGCAAACTGAATTCAAGTGAAGAGTCTTTAAATTGTGGACAGGGGTTCTCGTAATTTGTGTCACTGCCCTTTTAGTTATACTTACAAAAAATCTGTTTCTTTGCAGGAACATACATTCCCGGATGGCTGTCCTTGTAGAAAATTCTAGTTTGGGAGCAATGCCCTAAAAAACAAGGCAGCATAAAGAGAAGCAAATGAAATTACTGGAAATAATTCTCTTGCCCCTCTTGTCTTCACTGGAAACCCACTAAGAACCCAAATGTCCTTCTGTGGTCAGCATAATCAGAATATATTTTTTAAAATCAGAAGAACTGAAATATACACTATGCTAAGTGAGGTCTAAGTCAACTTGGAATATACACTCATACTCCTAACACAATTCTGTGAGATGGGTCCTTATAGAATTTTCATTTGGACATGAGAGATTACGTAGCTGTCAGGTTGGCAGCAGAAGAGCTGGTAATAAGACCTAGGCATCTGGGTTCCGATGTCCATGCTGTTAACTACTCTGTTAGCTATTCTGTCTAAAATACAGGGATGTGAAAGAGATTAGTAAGGAGGAGGGACGGGTAGGGAGGGCTTCTCCCCTACCAACTTTCCTTGGAAAACTTGACTTTCATCTTATATCAAACATTTATACTCATCTCAAACTGTTTTATTAACTACTATATGTCTATTTTGGTGTGGTGTTTTATCATCTAAATGACTGTTGAGGTCTAAAGTGAAGTAAACCACAATGTATGGGAATACAAAGAAAAAACCCACCATAGTGAAGAAAATCAATCTAGTTGCTAATGAACTGATAAGTCACAGTAAGAAGGTGAATGGTTTGCCTGATCTACTTAGGTCATTCATCTCATTTTCTACAGCTGTAATAAAAACCAAGAAGACTGAACTGAAATAAATCCAAGAGAATTAGTATCATGTTTGTGGCTAAGAGTATAAACCCTGAAGCATAAGAGTTCCTGTTGTGTGAGCCCAGGTACATTTCTGACACACAGCAGCTCCCTTCCATACGATGGGGAAAGGAACAGCTGTCCCTCTCCAGGATGGCGGAACAAGACAACCTATGTTGTGAGCTCAGCACACACCACGTGCACCAGCTGCCACTGAAGCTCTGGCAAGTGCTTCAGATTTGATTTGTGAAACGTTTCAGTGGACTTAAACCACTCTATCTTTTTATCTATCAAATTGTTCATAGATAAACTCAATTACAAGAATTGATATCGATGTGTGAAGGTATTTCAATACATTTTAAAGGTTTTTCCTGACAATCACCTTCATATATACATAACTACAAATACAACTTCATTTAGTCTTTCTATTTATGCCCAGAATATTCAACATGTGAGGGACACGAGGAAAAATAAGTGTTTCTCCTTGTTTTATTTTGAAGACGGCTTTTATTTAACAGGGAATTTGAGGAAAACAAAGTTAATTTGAGAGCTTCCTTAGGCTGGTTCATTCCCATTAACTTTTATTCCCTTTTAGGTTCTGAAGGGCAACACACCAGTAATTGAAGTAATAAAGGTAAGCATCTCACAGGCACCATGGACTTACATGATATATGAAGGAGATGCTGGAGAAAGAAAAAAAGTGGTTTTAGGAATTTTCACCAGACCCTGAAAGATAACATGGAGGGCTTAAAGTTATAGGCATTTGGGATTCTGATTAGGACAACTTTAATGAGTGTTGATGTTTGGCGTACATCTCCATCATCAGAAGCACTGGAGGAATTGTACCCCTGAAGAGTACTCTCAGCAGGGCGGGGACAGTTACCCTTCCCTATGTGATAGAACAGCAATTCACAGTGTAGAAACAGAAAGCCAAAGTGTTAATCATCTCTTTATACTTCATGAACATGTGGCCCTGAAAGAGGAGGTCATCCAAAGACATAAAAAGTGACAAGAAGTGAAAAGAATTGGTTCCAGCAAAGCTCACAATCACTATAGATGGGGAAACAAGATATTCCACAACAAAACCAGATTTAAACAATACATATCTACCAAGCCAGCCCTACAGAGAGTACTGGAAGGAAAACTCCAACCCAAGGAAATTAGCTATACTCACAAAAACATAGGCAATAGATAATCCCACTTTACAAAAGCCAAAAAAAAAAAAGTGGGGTAAATCCACACACAATACCACCATCAGCAACCAATCCAAAATAAACAAGAATTAACAATCAATGGTCATTAATTTCCCTCAATATCAATGGTCTTAACTTGCTTATAAAAAGACACAGGTTAACAGAATGGATATGAAGACAGAATCCATCCTTCTGCTGCATATAACACATCTCAATGTCAAGGACAGAGTAAAGAGTTGGGATAAGATTTTCCAATCAAATGGACCCAAGAAACAATCTGGTGTAGCTGTCCTAGTATCGAACAAATTAGACTTCAAATTAAAATCAATCAAAAGAGATGAAGGTCATTTCATATTCATCACAGAAAAAATTCATCAGGAAGAAGTATCAATTCTGAACATCTATGCACCAAATACAAAGGCAGCCACGTTCATAAAAGAAACATTACTAACACTTAAATCACACATAAACCTCACACAGTTATAGTGGGAGACTTCAACATCCCACTCTCACCACTAGACATGACCACCAGACAGAAACTTAATAAAGAAACAAAGGAACTAACAGAAGTTATGACACAATTGGGTTTAACAGACATCTATAGAACATTCCATCCAAACACAAAAGAATATACCTTCTTCTCAGTGCTACATGGGACCTTCTCTAAAATCGACCACATACTGGGCACCACAGCAAACCACAACGGGTACAAAAAAATTAGAATAACCCCCTGTATCTTATCAGACCGTCACACTTTAAAGTTAGAATTCAGCAACAACACAAATTGTAGAAACCCTACAAACTCATGGAAATTGAACAATATACAACTGCACCATTCCTGGGTCAAGGAAGAAATAAAGAAAAAATTAAAGACTTCCTAGAATTCAATGAAAATGAAGACAAAACATACTGAAACTTATGGGACACTTTGAAAGCAGTACGAAAAGGAAAGTTCATAGCACTAAGTGCTCATATGAAGAAACTGGTGAATAGTCACACTAGAGAATTAACAGAACAACTGAAAGCTCTAGAACAAAGAGAAGAAAACTCACCCCTGAGGAGTAGACTCCAGGAAATAATCAAATTGAGGCTGAAATTAATGAAGTCAAAACAAAGAAAACAATACAAAGAATCAATGTAACGAAGAGTTGGATATTCGAGAAAATCAAGATAGACAAACTTTTATCCAAACTAACCAAAAGGCAGAGAGAGAACATGCAAATTAACAAAATCAGTAATGAAAGGGGGGACATAACAACAGACACTGAGGAAATCCAGAGAATCTTGAGGTCATACTTTGAAAACCTGTACTCCACACAATTCGAAAATGTAAAGGAAATGGACAATTTTCTGGATGGATATCACTTACCAAAATTAAATCAAGAACAGATAAGCAATTTAAATAGACCTATAACCCCTAAGGAAATAGAAGCAGTCATCAAAAGTCTCCCAACCAAAAATGCCCAGGCCCAGATGACTTCAGTGCAGAATTTTACAAGAAATTCAAAGAAGAGCTAATTGCAATACTCCTCAAAGTGTTCCACATAATAGAAGCAGAAGGTTCATTGCCAAACTCTTTTTACAAGGGTCAAATTACCTTAGTACCCAAGCCACACAAAGACACAATTAAGAAGAGAACTACAGATTAATATCCCTCATGAACATCGATGCAAAAATACTAGCAAATCGAATCCAAGAACACGTCAGAAAAATCATCATACACCATGATCAAGTAAGCTTCATCCCAGGGATGCAGGGATGGCTCAACATACGAAAATCCATCAATGTAATCCACCATATAGACAAGCTGACAAAAATCACATGATCATTTCACCAGATGCTGAAAAAGCCTTTGACAAAATCCAACACCCCTTCATGATAAAGGTCCTGGAGAGATCAGGGATAACAGGAACATACCTGAACATAATAAAAACAATATACAGTAAACCAACAGCCAACGTCAAACTAAATGGAGAGAAACTCAACACAATTCCTCTAAAATCCGGAACAAGACAAGGTTGTCCACTCTCTCTATACCTCTTCAATACTGTACTTGAAGTTCTAGCTAGAGCAATAATACAACAAAAGGAGATCAAGGGGATGCAAATTGGAAAGGAAGTCAAACTTTCACTATTTGCGGATGATATAATAGTTTACATAAGTGACCCGAAAAACTCTACATGGGTATTCCTACAGCTGATAAACACCTTCAGCAAAGTGGCAGGATACAAGATTAACTCAAAAAAATCAGTGGCTCTATTATATACAGTCAATAAATGGGCTGAGAAAGAAATCAGAGAAATATTACCCTTTATAGATGCCACAAACATAAAATATCTTGGGGTAACACTAACCAAACAAGCGAAAGACCTGTATAGCAAGAACTTTGACATCTTTAAAGACAGAAATAAAAGAAGATACCAGAAAATGTAAAGATCTCCCATGCTCTTGGATAGGCAGGATTAACATAGTAAAAATGGCAATCTTGCCAAAGGAAATCTACAGTTTCAATGCAATCCCCATCAAAATACTGGCACAATTCCTTACAGACCTTGAAAGAACAATAATCAACTTTATACGGAAAAACAAAAGATCCAGGATTAGCCAAAACAACTCTGTACAATAAAGGAACTACTGGAGGCATTACCATCCCTGACTTCAAGTTCTATTATAGAGCTATAGTCCTGAAAACAGCTTAGTATTGTCACAAAAATAGACAGATAGACCAATGGAATCGAATTGAAAACCCTGATATTAACCCACACATATGAAAACTTGATTTTTGACAAAGAAGCTAAAATTATACAATGGAAAAAGAAAGCACCTTCAAAAGATGATGCTGACATAACTGGAGGCTGGCATGTAGAAGAATGCGGCTCGATCCATATTTATCGCCATGCACAAAATGTAAGTCCAAATGGATCAAAGACCTCAACATAAATCCAGCCCCACTGAACCTCTTAGAAGAGAAAGTGGGTGGTACCCTTGAACGAATTGGTACAGGAGACAGCTTCCTGAACATAACACCAGTAGCACAGACACTGAGATCAACAATTAATAAATGGGATCTCCTGAAACTGAGAAGCTTCTGTAAGGCAAAGGACACAGTCAACAAGACATAAAGGCAGCCCACAGAATGGGAAAAGATTTTCACCAATCCCACACCTGACAGAGGGCTGATTTCCAAAATATACAAAGAACTCAAGAAGCTAGTCATCAAAATACCAAACAATTCAATTAAAAAGTGGAGTACAGAAGTAAATAGAGAATTCTCAATAGAGGAATCTAAAATGGCTGAAAAACACTTTAAAAAATACTCAACATCCTTAACCATCAGGGAAACGCAAATCAAAACAACTCTGAGATACCATCTCACTCCTATCAAAATGTCTAAAATCAAAAACACCAATGACAGTTTATGCTGGAGAGGATGTGGAGAAAGGAGAACACTCCTCCACTGCTGGTGGGCGTGCAAACTTGTACAGTCATTTTGGAAATCAGTATGGCGGTTCATCAGGAAAATGGGAGTCAGTCTATCTTAAGATCCAGCAATTTCACTCTTAGGCATATACCCAAAGGATGTACATTCATGCAATAAGAACATCTGTTCAACTGTGTTCATAGCAGCATTATTTGTAGTAGCCAGAACCTGGAAGTAAACTAGATGCCCTGCAACTGAAGACTGGATAAAGAAAATGTGGTACATTTACACAATGGAGTATTAGTCAGTGGGAAAAAATGGAATCTTGAAAGTCACAGGCAAAATGATGGAACTAGAAGAAACCATCCTGAGTGAGGTAACCCAGTCTCAAAAAGACAAGCATGGTATGTACTCACTCATACATGGATATTAGACATAGAACAAAGGATTACCAGCTACAACCCACACCTCTAGAGAAGCTAGGAAACAAAGAGGACCCTAAGAGAGACATACATGGTCCCCTGGAGAAGAAGAAAGCCACAAGTTCTTCTGAGCAAATTGGGAACATTAGTGGAGAGGAGAGGGAGTTAGGAGAAAGAGAAGGGAAGAAGAAGAAGGGGAAAGAAGACATGAGGGACCAGGAAGATTGAGTCTGGGGAAGAATAGAGGAGAGCAAGAAAAGAGATACCTTAATAGAGGGAGCCAGTATAGGTTTAAAGAGAAATTTGGCACTAGGGAAATGTCCAGAGATAGACAAGGATGACCCCAACTAAGATTCTAAGCAATAGTGAAAAGGCTATCCTAAATACCCTTCCCCTATAATGAGACTGATGTCTACCTTATATGCCATCCTAGAGCCTTCATCCAGTAGCTGATGGAAGCAGAAGCAGAGACCCACAGCTAAGCCCTAAGCTGAATTCCTGGAATCCAGTTGCAGAGAGGGAGGAGAGATGAGCAAAGGGGTCAAGATCAGTCTGTGGAAATCCACAGAAACAGCTGACCTGAAAAAGGGGGAGCTCATGGACCCCAGACTGGCAGCTGGGAAACCAACATAGGACAGAACCAGGCCCCCTGGACGTAGGTGTCAGTTAGGAAAGCTGGGCAATCTATGGGACCTCTGGTAGTGGAACAGTATTTATCTCTAGTGTACAAATGGACATTGGGAACCCATTCCCCATAGAGGAATACTCTCTCACCTAGACACAAGGGAGAGAGCATAGGCCCTGCCCCAAATGATGTGACAGACTTTGATGATTCCCCCATGGAAGTTCTTACCCTTTCTATGGAGCAGAAGAGGGATGAGATGGGGGCTGGTGGGGGGGCATGGGATGATGGGAGAGAGAGGGAACTGGGACTGATATATAAAATAAGATTGTTTCTAATTTAATACAAAAAGAAAAAAGAAATGTTTATATTTAAAAAAGAAGTGGCTGTTTCAAAGACAGAAATCATAAACCATAATATCAAAATGAACCACTTGAGTCTGTGCTGTGGAATAATCCTTCTGTACATTGTGAAAGTGTGATGCTATCATTGTTAATAAAAAGCTGATTGCCCCATAGTTGGGCAGGAAGAGATTGAGAGAGAGAGCCTAACTAGGGGAATTCTAGAAAGAAAGGAAGAGTCTGGAGTCACCCCCAGATAAAGGGAGAAGCAAAATGGGCATGCTATACTAAGAAAAGGTACCAAGCCACATGGCAAAACATAGATAAGAAATATGGGTTAGTTGAAAATATAAGAGTTAGCTAGTAACAAGCCTGAGGTATTGACTGACCATTTATAACTAATATAAGTCTCAGTGTGTTAGCTGCAGAACAGGAAAACTCCACCAACAAATTTGGGTTCAGCTAAATGCCTCCAAACAGGTTATCAGCTGCCTAACTGCTGCAGCATGCATAGTTCCCAATAACATTGGCCTCTATCAGTTCCCCTTTACCAGAGGACAATGCCATCTTTTGATGGGGAAATCCTATGTATATGTCAATAAAGCACTGTTGGCCAATAGGGAAGCAAGATAGGTGGGACTAGGAATCAAGGAGGACCCTGGGTAGGAGAAACACAGGGAGTCACCATGTAGCCCACCAGAGAAGTAATGTCCGGAACTTTTCTCCGGTAAGAGAAATACTTAGATTAAAAATTATGGGGTAAATACTTAAGTCAGAGCAAGCCAGTAAGAAACAAGCAAGGCCAACAGCTTCATAATTAATACAGCGTCTTGTGTGTTATTTGGGGACTACAATGTGGCAGAACCCAGGCGACTGGTGGGGAAAAACCAAAGCGGCTGGCAAGGAGAAGGCTTCTCTCTACAATCTTTGGCTATTTTGTAAATTATTAAGAAAAGAATAACTAAAAATATAGAAGGTTTAAGGTATAAAACAAATGTGAGATAATATTATTTCTGTCATTACTCTATTTAGTGAAAACAGCTATTACCAAACAGATCTTTCTGTCAATCTGCAATAAGGAGTAGTTGAAAGAGGAACCTTTTAGGACATCATGTGACAACTGAATGTGGCAATGATACAGTTTAGTTAGATAATAAAACTTTTGGCTCCTATATCAATAGTATGGTTTGGTATCATGAGCTGGGCATCTGGTCATAGATGAAAACAGAACTGAGGTAGCTTATCAAGACAAAGCTACCTGCCTAAGATGAACCCTATCAGTAATAAAATGTTCAAGCCCCTAGAATTTCTCTTCCTGTAGAAGACCAATGGAGGGTCACTCACTGGAAAACCTATTGCTGTCTTCATAAGCAACTCTCTATACATGCCAAGGTGGGAAGATGTCAGCTTGGGCTCAGGGAATAGAAAATCACGTGTGTTTTCTTCATAGTAGGCCAGCTCTTCCCATGCTAGAAGGAAAGGAAAAAAAGCATAAGCAAATGTACTCTACACTCCTCAAGTTTCACAAAATAGATGCTCAGGCAGCGTGCTAGTTAGCTTTTTGTCCACTTGACACAATCTATAGTCATCTGAGAAGAGGGAACACCAACTGAGAAAATGCCTCCTTGAGACTGCTATAGGCAAGTCTGTAGTGCATTTTAAATTGGTGGTTGATGTGGGAGAGCCTAGCCCTTTGTGGATGGCACCACTCCTGGGCTGGTGGTCCTTGGTTCTATAACAAGCTGAACAAGCTATGGAGGGAAAGCCAATAGCAGCACTCCTGCATGGCCTCTGTATCAGCTCCTGCCTCCAGGTTCATGCCCTGATTTCCTTTTATGATGAACAATGGTGTGGAAATGTAAGCTGCTGCAAGTTGCTTTGGTGTTTCACCACAGCCAGTAACCCTAACTAAGACCAATGGTGTCAAGGGAAGGCACTTGAGTCAAACTAGACAATTTGAACCTAGCATTTGTTATTCAAAAATGTTAATTTATCTCATGGACAATTTACCTCATGGAGAGTCTTCTTGAAAAAATGGAAGGTTGCTACACAAAATTGAACAAAATAAATCTATCCACCTTTTCATCCATACATACACCCATCTGTTAAGAGAAGCTTTTTCTTTGCTAGCCGCTTTGGTTTATCCCCCGCCAGTCGCCTGGGCTCTGCCGCGCCAGCCTGGTTCTAGATCCGCATCAGTCCCAAATAAACACACAGGAAGCTATATTCATTATGAAGCTGTTGGCCTTGTTTGTCTCTTACTGGCTAGCTCTGCTTTAAGTAATTACCCCATAATTGTTAATCTAAGTATGTCTCTTACCGGAGAATAGTTCCAGGCTTCCTACCCCCAATGGCGTTACATGTTGACTCTCTTGTGTTTCCCCTTCCCAGAATCCTCCTCGACTCCTAGTCCCTCCTATCTAGGTTTTCTATTGGCCAGACAGTACTTTATTGACAAATGCACAGGCAAATAACAGGACTTCCCCAACACCCATCCATCCTTTCCTTCACCAAATATTTAACAAAGATAAATTTTGAGCCAGACCCTGAAAGCAGACAGGAATGAGGCAGACACAATCCTGCTCACACAAAGCTTATAGTTTGAGTGGGCTCTGTATGTTTGGGCACACGGGTGCCAATAGCCCAGAGAGCAAGCAGACTTCTTGGCAAGGATGATATCAACCCAGGGATGACTTAGACATTTATTAAGATCATTTATGAGAAGGAGCTAGCAATGCTACAATGTTCTATGGAGCTCAAGACACTCCCACATGTTTTTTCTACCATGCATGACTTTCTAATGTCCTACTAGACATTTCTTTAGGTTAAAAATAATGATCATCTAAGTCTGGAACCTAAAACTATATGCTACAAAGAACTTTTTGTATGAATTTTCTAGAAGTGTGGATATTGAACAAATAAAAGAACAATTTTGCTTTTTTTCCTGTTTGGGTTTCTACTAAGGCCTATTTGGCATTTTGAAAATCATATCACATTTAAATACATCATTATTCCCAGTATTATATTCTAAAGTGCATCCTGTTTCATTATAAACCATTTTCCTTTTTCCTCCCTTATACTAATTTCTTCAGTGAACTGTACAAGTTGACTGTGTTAACTATAAATCGTATTTCATTGTGATAAAGGGTATATAAAAGAAAATGCTATAAGAAAACAGGTTGAGATGGCTCAGTGGTTAAGAGCACTGGCTGCTCTTCCAGTGGACCTGAGTTCAATTCCCAGCACCCACGTGGCAACTCACAGCTGTCTGTAACTCCAGTTTCAGCAGACCTGGCATCCTCACACAGACATAGATGCAGGCAAGACATCAATGCACATGAAATAAAAATAAGTAAATTATTTTTTTAAAAAAGAAAGCAGGTTGAACAAGCCATGGGGAGCAAGCCAGTAAGTAGCATTCTTCTGTGGCCTCTGCATCAGTTCTTGCTTCCAGGTTCCTGCCCTGAATTCCTGCCCTAACTTTCCTGTATACTGGACTGATACCTGGAAGTGTAAAATAAAATAAGCCTTTTCCTCCCTCAAACTGCTTTTTGGCTTGGTATTTTATCACAGCAATAGACACCCTAACTAAGACATAGCCCCTTGGGCTACTGTGTGAAAAATGTCAAAAAGGGGATAAGTCAATAACTACCATCATCATGGTTGCTCCATGGTACCATTCTAACAATGGTCCCACACTTCTCTGGTCTATATTAACATGGTTACATTCCTACATGAACATAAACCTAGACACACGGCATATCACACTGCACATTAGGCTTTTCCTTTGTCCCTTTCCTTTCATAGTGTTTAAATATTTCTTGTTACTGCGTTCAAAAAATATATCTATTAAATTATTATTCATATATTTTCTAAGAATTTAAATAAACAAAACCAAAAAGCCAGAGAAGTATAGACAAACTAATCACTGTCTCTATAATAAAAAGAACAGACTTACGATGGTTAATTACCAATTTGCAGAATCTAGAATCACCTGGAAAACAGGCCTCTGGGCATTCATATGTAAAATTATTTTGCTTTCCTTAATTGAGGTGGAAAGAGGAAGGATACATACTTCCAGTGACATACTTCCTCCAGCAAGGCCACACCTACTCTACATTTTCATCCAAACCACCACATACCCTTTGCTTCTTGACTGCGGATGCAATGTGACCAGTTGCCACAAGTTCCTGCACTTCCTTCCTTAGGTTGCTTTTGTCAGGATATTTTATCACAAAAACAAAAAGTAAGACAGAACATTGGTACCAGAAGTGGGATTCTTATACCATAAACCTGATTATTTGAGACTAGTTTGCAGGATGAATGTTGAAGAGTTTGGAACTTTGACTAAAAAGTCTTCTGATACTATAAGCATAGCCTAATGGATCCTTAGAGTAAAAGCTTTGATGACAAAAATGCTGAAAGAAATGCAAACAGTGGCGGCCCAACCCATGCAACAAGCACTCTATCAAGAACTAGAAGATGGCCATTTGTGTGATATTTTGGGCAAGAATCTAGTTTCATTCTGCCCTCATCCTGAGAACTTGAGTGAAGTTGAATTTCAAGGTAGCAGACTAATTAATTTTGTGGAGGAAATGTTAAGACAGGAGAAGATTCATATTGGTAATGAAAAAGCACTTGTAATCATTAAAGAGATGATCATTGCAAAGAAACAACCTATACTGCACTGAGACAACAGACAGGGTGCCCTAAGGGCAAAACCCCACTCACGATAAAATTCGTCTTATGAAGATTCAAACATAATTGAAGGAAGAAAGCCTAAACTGAATAGGTTCCTTACTCCTTGAAGTAAGAAATATTCCTGGAGAAATATTTCCCAGTATTGCCACATTTAAGTTGATACAGCTATCATCCAAGGGAGCCATGCTTCATCTTGAGCTGGCTGTAATATTTGGAAATGCCATCCACATACTATTGGTTTTAGAGTCATGAAAGATGCAAGACTGAAGGTGTCATGAAATCTTGCTCCATAGTTTCAGAGAATACCTGAGTCCAGTAAATGCGTGGCAGAGTCAGAGTCCCCTGCAAGGAGGCCTTGAGAGGCCACTGTGTCAAACTGTGAAGGTGAAGCTATAAATGTGGAGACTAGGTTCCAATGAAAATGCTAAATACTGGAGAGGCCATGACTGTAGCACACCCTCCAAGGGTCACTGTGGGCATGGAGTGGAATCTGGCCAACAAAGAACATATGTGTGTTACAGGTTGCATATCTGGAGGGATGGAGCTACCCAAACCCTTTGGAGCACACCCAATTTTATCCTGTGCCCAGATGCTGGACATGGAGCTGCAGAGTTTGATGTTTTCCCTGCTGGATTTTGCTCTCACTTTGATCATTCCTTCCCATACTCTGATTCTTCCATTTTTAAAATGGGGATACTTATTTTGTGTCATTCTACATTGGAAGTGTACAACTTGTTTTTTTATTTTATAGGGACTCACAGTTAAGAGATTGCCTTGAGTCTCAGACATAGACTTTTATAGTGTTGGAATTGCTAAAGACAAAGGAAACTTTTGTAGATGGATTATGTTGCATTATGAGATGAATTTGAGACTTTGAAGACAAGGGATGGAAGATTATGATTCAAAGTGACATGTTAAGGTGGACCTGAAGAGACTCATTGATTAAGACAGCTTCCTACTTTTCCAGAGGACCCCAGTTTAGTTCCCAGTACTCATGTTGGGTGTCTCACAACTGCCTATAACTCTACCTCAAGAGTAATAGACCATCTTCTAGCCTTCACAGGTTCCCATATATCCATAGCATATATTTACATGGATATACATATATACATAAATAAAAATAATGAACGTTTAATTGATATGTTTAAAGGACTGGAGAGATGGCTCAGTGGTTAGTCAGCTCTTCCAGAGGTCCTGAATTCAATTCCCAGAAACCACATAGTGACTTTCAACCATTTACAATGGGATCCTATGCCCTCTTCTGTTGTGCAAGCATACATGCAGCTAAAGAACTCATATACATAAAATACATAAACAAGTAAACCTTTTTTAAAGTGATGTGTTTGGGTATCAAGTTGACTGGAGTGGAGTTGTGATGGTTCATCTTTTTTTACAACTTAATGAGACATAGAAGTATACGGGAGACTGGCATCTGGGCATGCCAGTGGGGTTAGGTTAATTGAGATAGTTAGAGTCATACACTGTGGTTGGCACCATTCCCTGAGCTGGGATCCTGAAGTATATAAAAGGAAGAAAGTAACACAAACACTTACTACTCTCTGCTTCTTGACTATAGATGCAATGTGACCAGCTGACCCCATGACTTCCCTTCAGTGATGGACTATAACCATGAATTATAAGCCCCAGTAAATCATTCCTTTCTGGGTGGCTTTTGTTAGAGATGTTATTACAACAGAAAAGTAAGTAAGATAAGACTGAAACATGGTTACAAACTAGTTAGAAAGCTATAAAGTGTCTTAAAACCATCTCCAGAGTTAGATAATTTTTTAGTAACCCAAATGGTGGTCAATATGGAACTGTCAGCACATGATAAGATACTACAGAGTCAAAGCAATAAATAATGAGTGCTCAGACTAATCATATAGGCCAAGAAAAGTGGCTGAAAGCACTCTGTGTTCTCAATTGGCTGATGACATAGATGGTGACGTCATCGGTGTTATCAGTGAATAGCTTCTTCCCCAAAAGGAAACAATGAGACTACAAAAAAAAAAAAAAAAAAAAAAGGAAAATTTTAGGAACAGCACCAGTTTGGAAACTATCTTGACTTTCTAGAACATATGACAGTTGACACCATGATTCCAGATAGAGTAGCTCATTGGGTTCTCTTTGAGACTGAGAGTTTAACATAGCTGTTGTCATAATGCCACAAGGCAAAGTAGGAATTCAAAGCCATGTCTGTAGGCTGTCTTCCCTTACTGCCTTCTAGTGACCATTACTGACTGTGGTTGGAAACTGAGCTCTGACTTAGCTCACAGGTGCCCAGGAAAGGATGGGGTTTACAGTTGTACTGACTATATATGATTTGCCAAAGAGAAGGTATCTGCTTAAGATGTTAATAAAAAGAAAACGCCAAGTTCATAGTCAAATAGTTTTACACTGCCCCCCTGTGTCCATAACTTTCTTACACCTTGGTAAAATGACACCCAGAAGTTGGTCTTCATTTATTGGGAGCAAAGTCACTGACTCTCTTTAGTCACTACCATAAGCTACAAACAGAAATGAGCATCACTATTGTACCCCTAATCTGATGGCCAAATGCCCTGCGACTGTGTGTCTGAAGATACTGTGAAAATTATCACATAAGAGTACACTGTCTACAGCAAAACAAAGAGGTAATGGATTGGCTAGTAAAAGAACTGGTCTCTGGGAACTCAAATTGGTCCATATGACCTTACATGCAAACTTCAAGCAAATTTCTTTTACCCAGTTAGTACCAAGGACCACTGCTGCTGCCATATGCACGCTGAAGTAATTAACTGATTAATATGCACAGTATCTGCCACTGAGTGAAGTTGTTATTTTCAGTAATTCAAACTGAGTGTCACTAAAATCACAGTCTGAAATCGGAGGGCTATGAACAAAAAAGAAGCAAGCACAATAAGTCTCCCATTTTGCATATGGTTAACTTGTGAATTATAAACAGTTGTAAGCAGCTATAACTTGTGAGCTGTACGCATGCTGTCAGCTCCGACATTTCCTAGTCTTCATTTTCAAGTGACTATTCTTATAACCTCACAGATAGATATGTGGTCATATGAAAGACCTGCAAATCCTAGCACTCAGCAGGGTGAGACAGGAGGGATCATGCGTCCAAAGCCAGCATGGGCTTGACTTTAAGAAATGCAATAATCCGCCGGGCATTGGTGGTGTACGCCTTAAATCCCAGCACTCGGGAAGCAGAGGCAGGGGGATCTCTGTGAGTTCGAGGCCAGGCTGGACCGACAGCCTCCAAAACAGAGAAACCCTGTCTTGTAAAACCAAAAAAAAAAAAAAAGAAATGCAATAATCCAAAACACATACTATTCTAAAATGTAAGTTTCAAAATGTTTACATTCATTATATTTATACACAGTATCCTCTGTATAGAACAGATAATTGTATATAGGTGCTGTGTGTGTTACTGTAGAGTTAGGTATATATATATATATATACATGCCAATACATTATATACTAATTGCATTTTTTAAAAGCCTAAAAAAATACACAGCAAATTGCCAATAAAATATCTGTCAGGAATCATTAATGAATGGGTTCTTTTCACTTTTAGTCTATATAATCATGTCTAGTTGAAATTTTTAATAATGGGTGATTTTTAAATTAGTACATAATTAAGTAAGACCAAAATAAACATGCTCCTATTCTATTAAAATAAAATCTAACTTGCCAGTTCACAGGGTTATATGCTTAAACATAGAATTGGGTCAAACAAGAAAAAAACTTATGGAAAAAAACTCAATGGCCTGGTTTTAGCCTGTCATTTTTTTTTTTGTCTAGAAAAAAAAGCCATTCAGTGAGAATTTCTGAATAGCAGGTAGAAGGTATTATTCTGTATTGTTGACCAAAACAAATAATTTTGAATGGATAGACTCATACTATAATGTTCAAGTATCTATCCCTAGATTCACACCATAATCTGTAGATTAACACTGTGGTAACTGGTGTCTTGTTTATCCTTAGATTGACACCATAACATTCAGATGCTTATCACTGAATTTATACAGTTAACATTGATACAGTAACGTCCCTGAATTTATAGAGTAGCATCCATATGTTTACACCACAAATTTATCTCTGGATTCACACTAGTATCTTAATGACTGTACCTAGATTCCGACTACATCTGTATCCACGTTCAGAGCATTTGTCCCCACATTCACACCGTAATAGTCGAGCATCTGTCTATAGATTCAGACCAAAATATTCAAGTGCCTATCCCTAGTTGACACTGATATATCCAATTGCTATCCCTAGATTTACACTACAATAATTGGAGGGTCAATCCCTATATTCCTAGAGTCTAGAGTTCTTATCTGTTTCTAGGGCTATCTTTGCTAAAGAACCAAGGAGAAGCTCCCTAGCTCTACACCCCTTTCTGGGGTTCCTTACCTGCCCCAGGGATCCAATTATGGGTAGATCCACAACTTTCAAAAAACACTGTACTCAACCTGCCCCCTTTAGCTGAGATATCTTCTATCCAGGTCATTATTCTTTTCTCAGTAACTCTCAGGGAAAAAAAGAAAGTCCACTTGAGAAAAATATCAAAATGATGCAATGAAAAGGAGGAACGCATTCAAACTGATCATAACTGATTAAAGACATTAATAAAAATATTATAAATTTATAGCAAAGAGAAACACTTACATCCAGACCTCATTCTGAAGCCAATCAAGAACAATGACCAGAAGGGGAAAAATCATAATATGGGAAAATTGAAACTTTTAAGAAGATAAATTTAAGTTTAGGATTACACATCAAATCTAAAAAAATAAGGGGTCATAAAGTATGGTAAAATATATCTAAACTATTGTACAATTCAAATGTAATAAATTCAAATGATAAAACCCAGTTTAGCCAAGACAAGAGGTACAGGCATACTGTACTGGGAACCAGTTTTTCCCAGGCTCACAAGGCATAGTTTAGCCTGGGAATTTCACTCTGTAAATATATTAAGAGAGGAACAAATAATAATTTTCATGGTTATGTGAAAGACAAAAAACATAAATAACAATTTGAGGATAATACTTTGGAAATAGCTATTAAAAATTATGAACATATTAACTCTGGTAACAAGGTTTTAAAAAACCAAAATATTATATATTCATATTGTTCATACTCTGTAAAGACACATAAGTAGCAGGTGATGGGAATGCATGCTGAGATGGGAAGGTTATGAGTTTGCGGTCAGCCTAAGTGATTCAGTGAGACTTTGCCTCAAAATCAAAACCATTTTTAAAAAGTCAGTGGTACAGTGCTAATCTAACATGCATGAGGTATTGGGTTCAGTCCTCAGACATACACACACGCATTAATGAAACTCTTTATACCTATCAAAGATGATGGTATAGAGTACATCGCTAGAAAGGATTCAGTCATAAAGGAAACTGAAATCTGCCCCAACTCTTTCATATTAAAATTCTTCAAAGTGAAATTGTTTAGAAGTATGTTTACAGGCATATTACCTGGAGACACTAGCTGTATCAATTCAAACCTGGTTAGGAAGCCTAAAAATGAAAAAAGAAAGAAGAAACATGAAATTGTAATATTTCAGAAAAATTGCCTGTTTCCTAGTACATACTAAATTAAAACTACCGTATCTCATTTACACTACTGATAAAAACAATACAGTTGTCCCTCTAACTTCACAGGTTCCCTATGTACAGACTCTTAACTATATTTTAAATATGTATTTATTATGTGTACAGTCTTCTGTCTGCATGTATGCTTGGACACCAGATCTCATCATACATCTATGTGGTGAGCCACCATGTGGTTGCTGGGAATTGAACTCAGGACCTCTGGAAGAGCATACAGTGCTCTTAACCTCTGAGCCACCCCACCCCTCTTAACAATCTTTTAAGAAACTACAGACAGAAAACAATTACAAAGTACTTACATCTGTGGTAACATATACATTCTTTTCTCTTTATTCTCTAAACAATACAGAAGGACACCTCCATACAGTATATAATACAGAGATAATTCTAATTATGTGGGATATGCACATATACGCACATACACATATTCATGCATAGGTTACAAGTAAATTCTACATCATTTTAGTTAAGTCCCTGGGGGAACCTATGTACGTTGGTATGTGTGGAGATCCTGGAACCATTTTTCTAAGAATGCCCAAAACAACTATAATTTAAAATAAGTGCCATGGCAATAATGAAACAGATTTTCATAAAATGAGGGAGTAGGGCAAAGATGAGTGAACTGCAAATTTAGCTTTTTACTTCCTAAAAAGTATGTAATATTTTGTCTCTTAAAGGCATATTCAGAGCTGGGAAGATGGCTGTGTCAGAGAGCACAGGCTCTTGCAGAGGACCCAAGTTCTATTCCCAGCACCTTGTCAGGCAGCTAACAACTGCCTGTAAGTCCAGCTCCAGAGAACACAATCCCCTCTCCGGCCTTTGTGGGCATTTATGTATACACATGGCACACTGGCACACATAAATACAAGCATGTATATTCATAGAGTACTAAAATAACATGTTATGCTATCCATTAATGCAAAACTTTAGCTTGCCTAAAAAGCATACTGTATGACTATACATGTGTTATAAATTGTATCTTACTATGTTCCTTGAAATTAAAACTGCTTTAAAGAGGCTATGATATCTATAATTTAAATCTTGGGTCAGGAGGGGTGACTCGCAGGTTAAAGTGTGTCACTCAAGCCTGGTGATTTGAGTTAAATCCCCAGAACCCACAGAAGCAGCAGATAACCAATTCCTAAAGTTATCCTTTGACTTTTACATATGTACTCACACGCACATATCACACACACGCACGCACACACACACACACACACACACACACACACACACGCGCGCACTGTGGTATGCACATGTTCATACACTCATCACCACACATAATAAGTTTTGAAATATTGAGGACATGGAAGATGAACAAACCACCCATGTTCACATGGATTGACAGAATATAATGAAAATTACTCTAACAAAATATGCTTTACAGATTCAGCTCAATTGCCATAAAAATTTCAGTGACATTATTCACAGAAATATTCAAATAGAAGCCACACACACAAGATAGCTGAAGCACATTAGAACTGGGAGGGAGGAGACCCACATGCCTGTCCAGGGCGGCCCTGCCTGGGGAAACGAGGAGAAATTATTATGGTGAGCAGACTTGGGAGGGTATGTGAGTAAGAGAGAGAGAGAGAGAGAGAGAGAGAGAGAGACAGAGACAGAGACAGAGACAGAGACAGAGACACAGAGACAGAGAGAGAGAGAGAGAGAGAGAGAGAGAGAGAGAGAGAGAGAGAGAGAGAGAGAGAATGGTTCATGTCCTGTGGAGAGAGGCATATCTGAAGCAATGAACGCAGTAAGGAGCAGGCTGAGGTGGGTGGCTTGCTTGCCACCCAGAGCCATGGTGATAGCCTGGGCTGTTGCCAAGGACCATGTCTGGGTCTGTGGCCCTGCAGCTGCCTTGGGCTATAGCTCCTGTTACCACCAATCAACAATGGGCTGATGAAAAGAATACACAACAGTCAAAAGATGAAGCCCAAATGAACAATATGGAAATGGCAGGTGTGATAAGACGCCTGTAACCCAGGCTTTAGGCGGTGAAGACGGGAATCCGGAATCAAGGTCATCCTCAACTATATAGAGAGTCTGAGGCTAGCCTGACTGTCATGAGACCTAGTTTCAAAAAAATGGAAAAATGTTCAACATCCTTAGGCATAAAGAGAACACAAATTAAAACTACATAAAGAGTTCATCTCACTCCAATCAAAGTAATTATCAAGAAAATAATAAATATTGTTAAGAATCAGGGAAGGGAAGGGAAGGGAAGGGAAGGGAAGGGAAGGGAAGGGAAGGAAGGAAAGAAAAGGGAAGGGAAGGAAAGGGAAGGGAAGGGAAGGGGACTGTAATACACTGCTGATGGGAATGTGAATTAGTCCAGTTGGTATAGAGATTCCTGAAAAAACTGAAGTACCATATAACACAGACACAGTGCTTCTTGGCATATACCCAGAGAACTCAAGACAACACACCACCAGGATAGCTACTCACAGTTATTGTAGCAGTATGTACAACAGCTGAGCTATAGAATCATCCCGGCTGACCATCAACTGATTAACAAAGAAAACAGTCCATATACACAATGGAGATTTGTTCACACCATCTTGGTTTACATTTCTATTGCTGTGATAAGACACCATGACCAAGGAAACTTATAAAAAAAAATGTTGAATTTGTGACTCATAGTTGCAGAGGGTTAGAGTCTATAACCATCACGGCAGGGAGCATGGCAACAGGCAGGCAGGCATGGTACTGAGCACTAGCTGGGAGCTCACATCTTGAGCCATAAGCAGGAGGCAGAGGAAGATTAACACTGGGTCTCAAAGCCCACACCCAGTGACACACCACATCACATCTCTTAATCCTTTCCAAGTTGTTCCACCAACCGGGAGCAAGTATTAAAGTGTATAAGTCTATGGCACCGTTCTCATTCAAACTACCTCACAAAGAAGAATACATGTAAGTTACTAGCAGTAGAAAATAGATGTAACTGTAGATCACCATATAAAGCGAAGGAGAGACTCGGGCAAATGTTAGGTATTTTCTCTCATTTGAAACTCTTGGGATTCTTTATAAAGAACACTTCTAACTCAGTTTTAGAGAAAGGCAATTCAATTAAAAAGTAGGAAGAAAATATGAATAGTCATTTCTTCAAAGAACATGTAACACCACTAGCTATTAGAGACAAGCAAAACAACCAATCAAAATGGCAGCAAGAAAGTATTGGCCAAAACAGTGGAGAAAGAATGAACCCTCCAAACACTGCTGGTTCATTGTGAAGTGATTCAGCTGCTTTGGTAAATAGTGTAGGAGGCTTAAAAAGTTACTAAACATTCTGTAAGTTACTATGTGATCCACTTACATGAATGTGTTTGTATGTATATGTATACGTGCATGTGTATGTCTAAGAGAGTTGAGAACACATTTCCATACAAAAACTTATACACAAACATTCACATCATTATTCACCATAATCTAAAAAGCATAAACAACCCAAATGTTCATTAATTGATGGCTAGAAAAATAAAATATGGTAAATTCATATAACAGAATGCTAAAGAATAAAGCACTGACAAATTCTGTAACATAAACGAACTTTATGCTAATTGAAAGAAATCAATCATCATAGAGGACCACATTCTGCACACACTCCTTCATGTGAGATACCAGAATAAGCAGATGTCTGCTCACTGGGCATGGTGGAACATTCCTGTGACGCCAGCACTCAAGAGACAGAGAAAGGAGTGTGAATCCAGCCTGAGCTCCGGAATGGAGAAATGACATTTGTATTTGATAGGACAGTAATAGATGCATAGGAAGTTAACTGCTAACAGATGTAGAATTTCTTCTTGTGGCATTGAAAATGTTCTAATTGATCAAATGATCTAACTGATTGCTGTGACAGAATCCACTTTATGTTTATAATAACCAAACAGAATCATAGCATCCAGGAAAAACATTATCTATAATATAAAATTTTGAGGATTTTTTTGTTTTGTTTTGTTTTGGGTGGTTTTAGAGACAATGTTTCATGTAACCCAGGCTAGCCTCAAGCTAGATATATTATCAAACTTAACCTTGAACTTTTGGTCCTCTTGCCTTTGACTTCCAAGTACTGAGGTTAGAGTCATGTACCACCATATCTTGCTTCACATTTAGATTGAAAAAAAAATGTTTATATCAAAAACGTGACTTGAGGTAGGTGTGATGGGTAGTGAGATGATTCAGTGGGCAAAGACATAGAAGCCCAAGGACCTGAGTTCCATCTCAAGAACTCACGATGGAAGGACGCACCGTTGCCCTCTGTCTCCAGCATGCACAGAAGCCCAAGGACCTGAGTTCCATCTCAAGAACTTACGATGGAAGGACGCACCGTTGTCCTCTGTCTCCAGCATGCATAACACACTCACACCTATATTCCCACGTGCACACACAAAAAAATAATAACAATAAATTTAAAAATTTAAAGATCGGTGTGATGCCATGTGCCTATAATCCCAGTACGCTGGAATAGTGGAGGCAGGTGGGAGTTCAAGGCCAGCCTAGACTACATAGAAAGATTATTTCTCTAAAATCCAACCAAACAACAAATAAATCATGAACCAAATCTCACCCTAGAATTTCCCTAAATTTAAATATCAATGAAGCAGAAATATTATACTTCAGAAGCATCAGAATTCTCTACCTATGAATTATGTGTGAGTCTTTTTTTTTTCTCTTAAGTACCTACTTTCTAAAATTTCTGCAACAGCTCCGGGATCTATTGCATTTTCAAATATCTATAGAGAAAAACAAGGAAAAGAGATTTTCAAGATTTTAGTAAAAGGTATTCCTAGAAATCGTAGCTTATGTTCTTTCAAGTAATTAGCATATAGAAAATCAAGCCATACAGTATTTTAGGGTTCAACAGGGTCATTTTTAAGACGTGTGTAGTGAAAGGACAACAAATGGCTGAAGTGCAGAATTAAAATTATCAGAATGATAAATGCAAAGTGCATTGAGTTAGCTAAATCTATCACATGCTTAAAATGCCATCAGTTTGACCTACTGTACAAGCAAACACATCTTACATCAACCTGAATCTTGAGTACATAGAAAAGCATTCTGCATACAGCAGATGCTCATCAAGTGTTAGCTAGATGACTCCTCTGCCCATGCAAGTGGTTGTGCCAAACAGGAAGACAAACAGAAAATTTAACCATCAAAGACAAGTAGTGGCAGGGTGGGGAGAGGGGGAAACTCTACCACTAACCACAGAGAAACATTGCTATATAACTTGAAACACTGTCAGATCTGCATACTTTGTGCTTAAAATAATAGGTTCTGAGGCAGCACTGAAACAGAACAGGCCTCCAGGGACCTTATGGGGAAAAAAAGACTTTCAGCGGTTTTTCAGTAATACCTTTAGCCTTTAAACTTCTGATAAATGATGTTTAAAGGTAAGCGTGGATAAAATTCTGCTTGAGGTTTCAAAGCCAGTTTTCTTTTAAGGGCAAAAATGGACACTGCTTTGTTGCGTACATTTACCAAGTAAATGTGCATAACATCTTTTTTGCCTAAGCTATTTCAATAACTATATCCTTCCATTTCACAATGTTATCAGTTGGATTGGGTACCTGTCAAAATTCACAGTTTGACATCTAACCCAATATCTCAGAATATGACTTTATTTTTGAATAGGGTCAATATAGATATGCTTAGTTAAAGTTTGAATGAGGTCATACTGGGCATCTAACACATGATTGATGCATTTTTCACTTAAGTGAATTTTTGAGCACAAAAAATCTTTTTTTTTTTTTACGAGACAGGGTTTCTCTGTATTGTTTTGGAGGCTATCGGTCCAGCCCAGCCTTGAACTCACAGAGATCCGCCTGCCTCTGCCTCCCGAGTGCTGGGATTAAAGGCGTGCGCCACCACCGCCTGGCAAAAAAATCATATTTTTAAAGTTAAAAATAAACTAAAACAAATTCATGAATGTACTTGAGTTGGAAAAAAATTCATGAACCAGACAGAGCTCAGAAGGAGCCACTATTGTAAACTGGATACAGAGAGTTTTCTTCTCTGGCATGCCGAGCAGAGAAAGCAAATGCAGTCGATTGGCTAGAGTGGACAGGCCAAGCATAGACCAGGTGACACTTCTCATCTGGGAAGTGTCTGCTTTGATTTTACTAATCACATAAATCTTCCTTTGACTCAAACAACTAGAGCCTCTCTGGTCTAATGCTCAGAATGTTTTTAACTCCATGCGCTATAGAGAACAAAGGTTACATGGTGAATATTGGGGTGGGGTGCTCTATATCAGGGGAGTATCTGTCCCTCCTGCCTTGGGAAGTACCAAGGTCCCACCAGCATTCTGCTCTGACTTCCAGCCCTCAGTACTGTAACAGCAAGTTTGCTGCCTGTGTGTTACTTCTGTACCACCTCAAAGAGCCTAATATATCCCATGAAAGGGTTTTCTTACATGTGACCTCAGGGGCAATCAGCTTGGTCTATTCAAATACAATGGCTTGTGAATTCTTATGAAAAATTTGCTTATCCAGATACTTTTAAGTATTCAAAACTGAGTCATGCAAACAGGCTGTGGGGGAAGAAAATGCTTTTGCTACTTGCTACAGTATTTTCGGCTAAAGAATGGGATGGATTGCAAGAATCCTGGAACTAGAAGAAACTATAATGAGAGCCTAAACAACTCAGTTTTAGAAAAAGAAAAAAAATGGTATGCTCAACTAGTAATCTGAAGCCAACAGCGTTTCTACACGCAGTAGGGAAGCATCTCAAGTTTGAGTCTCAGACAGTGTCCTTTTAAAAAACAAAGGAGGTTGGGCTAGGTAAGTTCCCACGGTGGTTGATGATGCATCGTTCTGTGCTCGCTCGCACAATTTTGTATCTATGGGCTTCTTGCAGATGTATCTTAGAAGTCTGAGAATGAAGAAAATGTTGGGAGGAAAACTGCTACCTACTTTTCATCACGCCCATCGCTTGCACATGGCCAGAAGAGTCATCTGGGTTCTCACTGTATTTTCCAAGATAATAACTATTGCTCTTTTACACAACCAGATTGCATGTTTTTAAGTAAATAGGTTGTAATATTTTTTAAGATCTATTTATTTATTATGTATACAGTGTTCTGCCTGCATGTATGCCTGCAGGCCAGAAGAGGGCACTAGATCTCATTACAGGCGAGTGAGAGCCACCATGTGGTTGCTGGGGATTACACTCAGGATCTCTGGAAGAACTACTAGTGCTCGTAACCTCTGAGCCATTTCTCCAGCCCCTAGGTTGTAATTTTTTAATGTTAGAATCGTCATCTTTTCTCCCATCCTTGGGTCAAAAGAGGTGGGTTTCTGGGCACCATCTTCCAGACCTTTGAAAGCGATGTGATATAGTTATCTTCCCTCTGCCCTCAGTGACAATGGCAAAATCATTAGACTTACCAAAGAGAGCTCTGATTTCATCTCCAAATCCAAAACCAAAATAGTTGGTGATTAAAGAGTAATGAAATGGAATGGATATTCTACAGTATGCCATAGTGGGAAGCCCTGGCTAGTGTTTTGGCAGTGGTTTTTTTTTTTAAATCATGATTGCATTCATTGGAATGGAATCTAGCCCTTACTACTAGTTACATAACACACTTAAGGGAACTCAGAAAACATGAATGGCTTTCTTGTGTTTAGTTACTAGATTTAACTGATTTAGTTAAAATATTTTTCTGGGTTTAAGAAAGTTTTTTTTCTTAAGGCCTGCAGTTTATTAATAGCCCTTTTCATAAATGTAAAGCAACTGTCTCTAACACCTCCAAGAACATTCAGAAACGCTCTCTGCTCCAGTTAGAAATGCCATGGGAGCTACAAGAATAGAAAGCACCCACCAGGGTATTTAGCACTCGATTGACAGAACTTGGCTCGGACCTGCAGAGCAAAAGCACGTCTTCCAAACTATGGTTTTGCCTCAAGACAGCCTGTACTTTTAAACTATACTGAATTGCTTTAGGGTCAGTTTTTTTAAAGGAAAAAATGTACATAAGTCACTATTCTTTATAGTAACTATTATGATGACTTCAGACAGCACTACCTACTGAGAAGTCAAGATCACCTTTTCAAATCTCATGCCCTGTTGAATCGCAATAGGGAACGCAGAGGGAAAGTAGTCTGTCTCCAGGTATTGATTCAGAAGGTAGACTCCAAGGTACACACTTTCCTTGTCCGGCAGGAACACTCCCGGGCAAGAAATCTTAAAAAGAAGAGGAAGGCAATCAGGGTTTGTTTTTGTACAACAGGGCTCTTTCTCCTAATCTACCACAGCCTCTGAAATTACCCCATCACTGCATCCTTCACCCATAGTTCCCAACATCGGCATCCTCCCTCCTCTCCTCGAGCTGGATATACCGGTCCCCTCCCACGTCTCCGCCAGGTGTCACAATCGCGCTCTGCCGCTCCTCGTCCCGCCCTCCAGGATGGCAGTGCGGAAGCGGAAGAGGCTGCGGAACCGGGAAGCCTCTCTCCGAACTGGCCGGGTCCCCGGGACCGCCGCCCGCCGCGATGCCGAGCCCCCGGAGGACCATCGAGGGACGGCCGCTGGGCCCCTCGGGCGGGAACAGCGTCCCGGGCAGCCCGGCCCACGGCGGCGGCGGTGGCAGGTTCGAGTTTCAGTCATTGTTGAGCTGCCGTTCGGGCGCCGATCCTGCCTGCGCCCGGCTGCGCGCTTCCGACAGCCCAGTGCACCGGCGCGGCTCCTTCCCGCTGGCCTCCGCGGGCCCCGCACAAGCAGCCCCGGCCCTGCCGCCCGAGGACGACCGCATGAACTTGAACCCATCCTTCCTGGGCATCGCCTTGCGCTCCCTGCTGGCCATCGACCTGTGGCTATCCAAGAAGCTGGGGGTGTGCGCCGGGGAGAGCTCGGCCTGGGGCAGCGTGCGACCCTTGATGAAGTTGCTGGAGATCTCGGGGCATGGCATCCCCTGGCTGCTGGGCACCCTCTACTGCCTGCTTAGGAGCGACAGCTGGGCCGGACGCGAAGTGCTGATGAACCTGCTCTTCGCCCTGCTGTTGGACCTGCTGCTGGTGGCTGTGCTGAAAGGGCTGGTCCGCAGGCGTCGACCAGCGCACAATCAGATGGACATGTTTTTCACCCTCTCCGTGGACAAGTACTCCTTTCCCTCGGGCCACGCTACCAGGGCCGCCCTGGTGTCGCGGTTCATCCTGAACCACTTGGTGCTGGCCATTCCACTGAGGGTGCTGGTGGTACTGTGGGCCTTCGTCTTAGGCCTCTCCAGGGTCATGCTTGGGCGACACAACGTCACTGATGTAGCTTTTGGCTTTTTTGTGGGCTACATGCTGTACAGCATTGTGGATTATTGCTGGCTCTCACCCCACAATGTTCCAGTTCTCTTTGTACTGTGGAATCAACAGTGACACCATCGCCTTGATTGTTGGCACCAGGAGGTCTGAAGGTTTCCACCTTTGAGGAGTCTGACCTAAATCAGAGCCATCCAGTTGCCCCTCAGACATTTCAGGCACCTCTGGGAATTCTGAGATCCCACTGTCTTGACATGTTCCTAGCGGGAGCACATGCCGGCTAGTGCTGAACACAGCTATACTAGAGAAAGAAAGTCTATTGTGTATATATTCAACAGCTGTTTATCTCCAAGACAAATGCAAAGAAATCAAGCTGATTATATGATTGCTATTTATTTAAAGTTGACAGATTTGTGTTAATTAGTAACCCCCCCAAAAAAACAATTTATCACTTGTAAATTGAATTTTGAGAGACATGAGCTTCCAGATAAACCATGTGCTATTCTCAGCCCTTTCCCTGTAGTAGATTTTAAACAGAATTTTTAAAGTCTAAGGCTGATTTTTCCAGTTCATCCTCTGAACATCTGTTGCCATAACTGGAGCTTTCTCTTTCTCCCGATTGCTTACAACAAGCTCTCCCACCTTTGTGGATTAGGTAGTAAGAAGAGGTTACATACAGTACTTGCCTTTCTTCCTATACCTCTCAAAAGTCTGTAGATGTTTACTATCAATTAGTCTTTAGTAGTCTTTTAGCATTCATAGAACAAACCTAGATGTTAAAGAAGACATACTCAAAAAGTGGGCTTGTCTAAGGCTCCCACAGAAAAGTAAGTATGAGACTGCTGTTCGTTTCCTAATTCTGTTGACAACCAGTAGCAGTGCATAGCAGTGAGCCAAGAAGCTGAGCCCTGGGGAAGTTAAGAGTCTGGAAGTAGGCAGACCATAGATGTCAATGACCAGTGGCAGGGGATGAAGCCCTGCTGCCCATCATTTACTGAATAGAGCAAATGGTCCTCTCTTAGGAAAAAATGGAAGAGCTATGTGATTTGCAATGTGCTCGAGTGGCTTTCTTGTGTGTATCACAAAGATGACTATACTATCCATTTTCATATCAATTCCACTTTGCTGTAGCCAGCCCATTTTAGGTAATAGCACTTAGCTTGAAATTCTTCAGGAGAACCTGTTGCCCTATGTGACCACTAGGTATGTATGACTCCTAAATATCTGTTTACATGGAAAGCTGTTCGTTCACACGCCTCCCCCAATCATAAGACCAAAGATGACCAAATATCGTGGTAGACTGACCATTGTCTGACCTGGAAAGACCAAAGAGAGTATTGCTATATAAATCTGTAAATGCTGCTCTATCTAGAAAGAAAACCTCTAAATCACTGTGGCAGCGGTATGTCAGATAATCTTAATGACCAATTGTTCTGGCATTTATAAATAGAATGGATTGTTGGCTGTGATCTAACATGCAAGGGTGTGGACTGGACTGTGCAGAATGGCTGTGCTAAAGAGATTCTCACCAGGAGGAAGCAGGACCTTGAGAGTGGGGGATCGGGCACACCAGTAGGAACAGCTCTTCCTCTGAGTAAACAATCACTGCATTTCCACAACACCCCGAACACTGACTACCTCTTTGCTTACTAACTTTGCCGAGCTGTGAGGTTCTAAGTGGTCTGTGTGTGTTGTTTAAACTTTTGGATTTTTTTGGTTTTGGGATGTTTTCTTTGGAGGGGGTGGGGAGACAGGGTTTCTTTGTGTAGCCCTGGCTGTCCTGGAACTGGCTCTGTAGACCAGGCTGGCCTTGAATTCACAGGGATCCTCCTTCCTCTGCCTGCCCGGAGTGCTGGGAGTAAAGGTATGCACCATCACCACCCGGCTCCGGAGATCATTTTTAATTGTAACATTCAGGCAGATAGTGTTTGCTCTTACCGAGTCCCCATTTCTAGTTTCTAGTTACACTTGTAGAATCCCACGTTTTTGTTTGCTGGGGCCTGAGTTTGCCGGCTGTCTAAAATAGGGTCAGATCGAATCATCTGACTTCATGGATCATTCTAAATTCTCTAGAGTAAAATATTGATTTTTCTTTTGTTGTTGTTAATTGCTTGTACACTGAAGGATGCCTTTTAAAAATATAAATAAATTAACCGGTAATGTTGAACGACATGAGATGAAATCTTAATTTGTGTTTTGCTGTAAGACAGATCTCTCGGCCTTGTAGGATTCCCTTCCTCTTACTCAGCATTTGAAATTGATACAGCACCACTGGTAACTGTCAGTAAAATGGAACCAAAACTAGGACCCTTTAACTTCATTATGAAACCTTAGAGTCTGCTGTTGTATGGCATCTAACTGAATTTCCATGCAGTGCCTGTTAGTATCCACTTGTAACTATGGGCAGTAGTAAAGCCCCTTATAATTGGGAGGCCAAACTCTATACCCGTCATGTTACTATAAAAGGAAGTATGGGAGAATGGAACGAGTTATGACTGACTCCCAAATAGGAACAGTAGTCCCTGTGCTCCAGCACCTCACTTAAGGAGTTGGTGTGTAATTATAAAGTGTTTATTGTTAAACGGAGTGTCCTGTTGAAGTTAGCAACCTAAAGCCAAGGGAAAGCGCTTTGCTTCCTAGAGGTGGCACATTCATCAAGAGTGGAGCTTTTAAAATTATATATTCTTTGATTACTTAGAGAAACAACGTTAAATCCTTTCACAAAGTCTTTTGAAATGAAAACCTTTCTTGAACCTGAGTCAGGATCGTTTTAAGAAGCAAGGAACAGGCTGGTTTTGGAAAGAAAAATAAAAGACGGGACAGATTGAACTGAATTAAAGGCTACGGGGTCCAAGGGTGATAAACGTGCAAAATCTTAGGGACAGAAGTACAGCGTGAACCAAAAGCAATGTGGAGTAAGAACGTGGGGTTAACGCGGCTGGCTCGCCGATCTCTTACCGCCCGGATTTGGAGCTCCACCACCACCTCGAGAGGCATCCTTCCCTGTGTGGACGAAAGCACCGCAAAAACAAGATCCTTTCGTGCTGAGCCTTGAACTTATTTCTTAGTTTACATCAAGGCAAGTGTTTTCCAGAAATCTCCCTGCCCCCAACCCCACTCCTTTGTTCCCCCATCAACCCCCCAGCCCAGGTCCCTCCCACCGGGACCGGTATCTCACAACAAGCTAGGGATTGTAAGCTTCCAGAAGGCGGAAGCATCGTGTTGCCATGGACACTCAAACGCTCAACCTTCTCCCCTGGAACGCTGGAGAGGCCAAGGCGCAGGCGCGCTAATGCTCTGCTGGGAACCCGAGTTCCTGTTAGCCTCCCTGGTGGTGGACCTGCCCAGCTTTGGCTGTCTTTTCCTGAATGCTCTATGTTCAAATGTTTAACTGTGTTCAGATGACTAACAGTTTGCATCCCAAAAGTGGAATGAGATCATAGCTCTGTTACGTAATAATTTTTAGTGGCTATGGGACCCCAAGACACTGGGATTCTTGTAATAGTTTCTATTCAGCATAATTGCCTGTTCGCCACTGGACTTCCTTATTAAATGTATTCTCTCCTTTTGCCTCAGAAAACATGCTCACTGTCGATAAGAAATAGAACAGTGTACTAATTAGAAATAGAAAGGTTATTTCTAAAGTTAGAAATCAAAACTGTCAATTCCTGGTCACTGCACAGTTCAGCCTTCCCAAGTCTAAGGCAATCATTGAATTGCATCATCTCCCAAAGGAGATCCATCAGGTAGTAGGCAGAGTAAGACGTATCAAGTGGCAAAAAAAAAAAAAAAGGCATTTAACGTGATTCTTAAAACAACAGTGGACAGCAGGAGAATGTGGCTATTTTTAGCAGATCCAAAATTTCCCAAAAGGCCAATGTCTCAAAAAATTAAGCAATTAAATACATAATGGTTTTAAAAATTAGGGCTGGGTCATGTGGTTCTGTTAGTAGTGTTTGCCCAGTCTACTGTCCACCAGAACTACATAAATCTGTCTTTGGTGGATGTTTGTATTCTACCTCTGTTAAAAGAATCAGAAAGTCAAAGTTAGCCTGGGATAGCTAATAAGTTTGAAGTCATCCTGGGCTACATGAGACCCTGCCTCAATAAAATAGAATTTTAAAAAAGTATCTTGTGATTTATTATTAATACATTGAGATCTCTGCAGTTGGAAATGATGCAGGAAGATGTCCCTAAAAAGATACTGCTGAAGATTTTCACTTCAGTTGCTATAGTTCATTTTTCTGAAAGGAAAATCCCAGGGTGGTAAGGAATGGGGCATTATGTCTATTCCCAGCTCCTAATGCTCTCTCTCTGCACCCAAAGATGTATAGAGATGGGTGTCCAGCTCTCTGGATGCCCAGAGCATAGATATGTCATAACAGCTAACTGGCACAAGGCCTGCGATATCGCAGGGATAGTGCCAATTGATAACACTAATACTGTGTCAAAACAAATTTATAGTTAAGTTTCTAGAGGTAAAATAAAAGATGGAATCCATTCTTACTGAAGATCTACAAAAATGTGGTCATGTTGCATGTGGTCATTTCATTGGCACAGTAATACTTTGGGAGATGTTATCTGTAATTTTCAGCTTCAGATTGGAAGCCATACAGCCTTTTCCCCAAGGCTACACACTAATAACAACAGTCATGTTTGAATTCAGGTCCCTACTACCTCACTACCTTCCCAACACAGATCCTATTGGTCCCTAAGAACACTGTCCTATCCACATGCTCTTTGTTTCCTAGTCTTTCTACCTCTTGATATTATTACTTTCCTCTCTTTCTAACACTTGATATTACTATCTAGCCATTTTTTTTTGTCTGTGTTTCCTCTCCTTTACCTGGCCAACTAGTATTTTCAGAATCCTTTGTTTAACTCACTGTCCTCTATTGGGGTGACACTCAATATAGATACTGGTTAACAAGTTTGTGTATGCTACACAGGTCTCTTAACTCTTCCCGTTGAGGTTACTTTGTCCCCCACCACGGTCATCTCAGACTCCCAGATGTCACGGAAATGTGGAAGCTGCCACAAACATAATGTCTCCAGCCCTTCTTGCAAACCATTTAATCAGTGATGCTGCCTGTCTCAGCTGGAGACCAAGCAAAGGGATTCAAGGACTGGACTATCACCAAGTCAAGTCAAACCAATTGGCTTCATCTCCAATGTAGCTACCTGTACTGAGTTGGCTTTTGTCAACTTGACACAAGCTTAGACTTATCTAGAAAGGTCTTTTGATTGAGAAAATGCCTTCATAAGACTGGCCTGTAAGCAAGTCTGTGGAGATTGCCCTCATTAACCATTGATGTGGAAGAGGCCACCCCCACAGGAAATGGAGCCGTCCCTGGGCAGGTGGTCCTGAATTGTATAAGAAAGCAAGCTGAGCAAGCCAGTAAGCAGTGTTCCCCCATAGTTTCTGCTTCCGTTCTGCCTCCATGATTCTGCCTTGAGTTCTTGCTCTGACTGACCTCAGTGATGGAGTGTGAGCTGAGAGTTGGAAGATGAAATAAACACTTTCCTCCCATGTTGATTTGGTTCATGGTGTTTTATTACAACAGTAGAAACCTTAGGACTGTGTGGCAATAAACAGGTGCCAGTGGCCAACTTCTACTCTCAGAGAGCTTCTGCAGGGCAGCTTGATGGCTTCAGCATTGCATAAATGACACATCACCCACACTGTTCACATCCTGGTCACGAGAGAGAAAACAAAAGTATTCCCCAAGTGGGAATTTCCAAAGAGTGAATTAACCGGGAGTAAGAATGTGACAATCAGGTCCTCATAATCTAGTTGTTCCTTTTAGCTTAAAATAGAATGATTAACCCAACATCATAAATAACAGAAACAGCATCCGTGTGAGGGAGAAACTATTTTTTTAAGGAATGAAAAGAAAGGGTGTGAGGAAGTACATATTATTGGTAGGGATGAAATTTTTTAATGTATGGGTATTCAATGGCTACTATAACAAATTTCTATATTCTCAGGACCTTAAAATTTTATTATATTCAAGTTTTTTGAAACAACAGTCTAACTTGCATCCTACTGGGCAAAAATCTTAGGTGACAGGAGACTACTGGCACCTTTCATTTCTCTTGCATTTCTAGCTTCTAAAGGCTGCTAGTACCCCTTGGCTCAAAGCTCCCTTCTTCCATCTTCAAAGCCAGCAACATTAAATCAAGTCTTGCTTGTGCTGCCTTTGTTTTGATTCTGTTCTCCACTTTTTATGATCTTTGTGACTGGGCTGGAAGGAGGTTTAAAAGCACCCAGTGCTCTTGCAGAGGACCCAAGTTTGGTTCCTGCACCTATGCTGAACAGTTTACTTGATGGAGCATGACTCACTGTAAGTCAAGCTCTAGAGGAACTGAGGACTCTGGCCTCTGCTAGCACGTGAACTCATGTGCACACACACACACACACACACACACACACAATTTAAAAATAAGATAATCTTTTTTAAAAAGATCTTGTGACCACATGGGGACCACTCAGAGAATCCAAGGTAACTGCCCTATTTTAAAGTTAATTGGTTAACCACTCAGAGAATCCAAGGTAATTCCCCTATTTTAAGATTAGTTGGTTAACAACCTCATTTTCACCTGAAACTTCAATATCCCCTTTATTATGTAAGATAACATACTTTCAGTCTCCATGGTTTCAATATGGTCATCTTTGGGGCCAATTATCGTGCTTACAATAGACAACTTCTCTAGAAAATGATTTGATAATGTCTCTCAAAAATTTTTAATTTGGCTCAGTATTTCTGCTGCTACTAGGAATTTATTCTGTGGATATACTTTCACAAAAAAACCATGAAGAGCCGGGTGTTGGTGGCGCACGTCTTTAATCCCAGCACTCGGGAGGCAGAGGCAGGCGGATCTCTGTGAGTTCGAGGCCAGCCTGGTCTACAAAGTGAGTTCCAGGACAGCCTCCAAAGCCACAGAGAAACCCTGTCTCGAAAAACCAAAAAAAAAAAAACAAAAAACAAAAAAAAACCATGAAGATACATGACACATCATTAAGATTAAAAACAAAATAACCAAATGTTCACTATGTAGAGTCCTGTTAAAGCTGATGGATACCACAGCATGAGAAAAGAAAGCAGAGCTGGGAGCTCAACAGTAAATAATCTCTAAGAGGAAAATAAATGCATGGGACAAAATACACCTAATATACTTGCCATCTCAGATAGAACATACAATGCATATAATTATGCTTAAAGTCTTTCTGGGGCGGAGGGCAGGGGAATCACCAGAGACTTAATAATGTATATCTTTGGAAACAGCCTCAGGTAGAGTGATGGAAGGAAACCTTGCTTTTCATTTAATACCCTCAGGTGCTGTTAAATGCTATTATTCCCAACAACCTCTGTTACTAACGCCAAAAGAAAAGAATATCAAACAATTAAAGAACATAAAACAATAGAAAAAGAGAAGCCTAAAAACACAGGAAAGTGCAAAAGCCCCCACTTCTTCAACTGCTGGGGTCAAGGCTATTGTCATTGACAAGATCCTTCCCCTTCCAAAATCAGGATTTCTACGATTAGAGGTCAGGCAGAAGAGTAGGAAACCGAGGAGAGTGATTCAGAATTTACAGTGAAGCTGCATCCACAGAGAGCTGGTTTCTTTGCCAGGCACCACTCAAAGTACTTTGTGGTTTCAAATAAAGAGGGAAAAACATTTTTTCTCTCTACTATCACCTCCCCCTCCCCATGGCTTTTGAAATCTGACCTAACAGGGGTTGAGTGAAATGCTTTTCAACTTTTGCTTATGATTAAAAAGTTATATTCTGGTAGGAAAATCTTCAATCAACACAATACAGGAATGCTAACAGTAAAAGTAAAATCCTCAGAATCTTTCCTCCCTGGCCTTAGCCACCGAGGTAACTATTAAAATTTCTTCTATACCTTCCAAGAATTACACACACACACACACACACACACACACACACACACACACACACACACACACGGCGTGCATGCGAAGAGTGCACCTTAAAAAACAAACTCAAGTTGTCACTCTACATAGATTTCCTTAACTCAGTGCCCCATCTATGTAGCCTAGGGTGGTGGTGAATTTGACACTCCTCATGCCGCAGTCTTTCCCAGGATTACA